CAAGATCCTACCCATATCCTCCTTAGCTGTACGCTATATAAGGAGGCTAGGATAAAGATGCAGGAGGCGAGCAAGGACCCCCTATCGCTAGCCTTCCTGCTAAACACGAGCGTAGGCATACAGGCTACTATTGCCTTTATTGAAGAAACTAGGGCTGCAACACAGGCCTGGCACAAAGGAAACCTCGAGAACTAGGGCAACACCTATACTAGGTGGCCTCGCCCTACACCCACCCTACCTCTCTCTTTTACCCGCAAGACCCCCTTCTACCTCCCTCTAGACTAGGCTACGAGCCTCACCTCGATTTAGATAGCCCCCTCCCCCACCTACACCAAAGTGATAGCACTACGTAGATACTTGCGGGCCTAGCCTGCACGTCTTATATAGCCCACCGGCTGAGACAGGACGTAAAACCAAAATAATAATAATAATAATAATAAGGCTAGTTGACTAGTTGCATCAGGCTTGGCTCGATCCCCAAGCCTGATTGAGTAGTCATACGCCTCTTCATTTTCTTGCGCAGAAGCTGAAGAGAGACGGTGAATGATAATCCATGATTGATATATAGCACGTCTAGTCCTCTGCAAGCCCGTTGTGGATATATCCAATCATGCCGATCAATCACTTATCTACAGTGTCATGACTCTGTTCATAGGTCATACTTGACTCGTTCGAAGAGGCTGGGCAGTAGGTGCGTATGCCAAAAACCAGATAATCGGTCTGAATAAAGGTTGTGCAAGTGTAAATCTGTCGACTGGGAGAAAATCGGTGTCTTCATTCTGAAATTGATCCTTGCACAGTGTGATACGCAGAGTTACATCAGGAACGGGGTTGAAGGGCATCCCTACAAGGCCAAAAAATGGCTTCAATTTTATGTGGCCTGAAACTAAGCTAATGCCGCATTTCAAATGGTCAAGATCCGGTATCACAGGAATGACTTCAGACACCGTGCAGTGATGGCACTTGTTGGGAAAAATAGGCTTGTTCCACGGTGACCCATCAAGTAGCAGGTGGTAACGTGGTCGAACCAAAATTCTACACCTGTAGTATGGCCAAGCCGCGTTGTTGGGATCTGTGCAAGGAAGATTGATTCGATAGGTAGTATACAGTGTACAAAGGAAATATTGTGACAACACATCTCTCGTAGAAACCCATGCCCTGTTTTCATGTTAGCCGGCTAACGCTTTCCAATTAAAAGAAAGCGACCAAGAAGAACGCTACCCAAATAAAGAAAGTACAAGCATTTGTAAGGCTGTGTGTGCAACGAAAATCCGAAATAGGGGGTTGGTTGAATCGAAACCTGGATATCCCTGTGTATAGCATCACAAAATCTTCGATGGCAGACAGGTGATTTTCCTTGGCTCGACTCGACTGTCTCTTGGTAATTCTACCCAGCATTATGATGGAGGAATCGATGGGGAATAACACATCTTTCTAGTGTGAGATGTTCATCTCCATGGTTGAAGCTTTGGGGGATTCGAGGTTCGATCAGAGTCTTGATAGTCCCCCAAGACCGCGTGGCTGGCAATGCGTCTATCGTACGAGAAACTCTCAATGGCCTGGTCCCGCTTTTCAGTGTGCCTTGCGAACTGACTTTGGAGTCGCGGTGATCCTGGAATACCACATTGTGAGGAAAACTGTGAAACGACTTGCGTGTTCGTAAGACTTGCAGCCCAGGCGGTGCCGACGGGCTACTGAAGCTCCTTTTTAGGGGTCTTCTCTCGCTAATGAACGGTCCATATATTTCAAGATCTGTGGCACCATAGGCTTCGCTGTTGTTCCTGAATGGGCATTTCCGATGCGGCACCTTCTGAATAATGTTTTGTCCCCCCTGGAATCCCGTCCAATCTCCTAGCAATCTGTCGGAAAGCGTCTCCTCTCGCCTTATTGCGATATAATCATGTGAGAGAGAGATAGTACTAGATCCTGTGATGTCTTGCTCTTGAGATTTGTCATGGGTACCTTCCAAGTTCTTACTTTCGAACTGCGCCCCAAAGGCAAAAATACAACGCCAGCCTTCAGGGATCTCTTTCAGCGGAGACCCGTGTGTCGGACCACTGATAGGTTCCTCGTCTTCAGGATAGTTCATCGGTAGATAGGGCTGAAACAAAATATCAACGAGCCACGTGTCCATACGTTCATTGTTTGAGAGTAGACGAAAGTCTGCCGTGTACGAGTCGTCATCCTCTTGGATATTGGAGTTCACTTGACGCTGCAACGCTAGTTGTAGAGCTTCTTCTTGTGTAGTCGAATTGGCGAATTGGTTGTTCTGGTTTACGATTTCCCAGCTATCCGCAGTTGCGGGAGTTACTTGCAAGGCACTCCGATCTACCGGAATTTTCTCAGTTCCAGAAACAGGAGAGTTGTTTGAGTGGACGCTTTTCAACTTTTCGATGAATTCTGACTCTTTCCTAGAGTAATTTAATTCCTTCAGCGTGTAGTTTTGTTCCGTGTCATCATACTCGGCCTCTAGTGTACCTAGCCGGTCTCGAAAAGCATCAATCAGCTCAAATGTTTCCGCTATATCTTGGGGCAAGGTGATTGCGTGCTTATGTAGGAAGGTACGTAACTGATCCATCACTAATCCTTCTTGGATACTGGTTTTCTCCCGTGTCTCGGATATCTTCTGTCTATCCATCTGCATCTGAAATCGAGAACCCATAAGATCCTCCCTTTCTATCACCAGTGCTTCATGTTGTCTTTCAATTTTGGAGAATTCACGTGATGGCATTCCTTCCGTCGGAACGCCAGGTTTCCTTGCTGGCATCGCATCCAGTATCTGGGGTGAAATAGCATATTGGGGGGGCGGTGGAGGTGGTGGGAGGTTGGCATAGCGATCCATGTCTGAAGGCCGTACAGGTGGGTCATCTCTTCTCTCGTGTGGGCGCATACTCGTACGTGGATGGTTATCAGTGGGATTCCGGACTTCGATCGAGGCAATGTCTTCCTCTTCACTGCTAGTGTCATTTGTGAAATCTGTCGCTTTGCCACGGGGACCGATCGAAAAATAAAGGGATTGAAGCCATTTCGCTAGATACTCATTAGTGCTCTTGTTCCACGTGTAATTTCTTTGTTTGCACACCGAGTTTTTTCCGCTTTGTCGGAAAAGCAAACGACACGTTGCCTGGGCGGCTCCGTGATCGCGAAGCCATCTAGAGCGACAAGTCAATGTTAGTAGGATTTCTCGAAACCTACCGAGGGATGATATCCTATGCCCCATGGTGAAGGGCCATTGGGGCTAAACTCGCTAAGACTGATATGGTATAGTCTTTCTCGCTTTCTCGCTGCCTTTACCACCATGCCACCCTTATGTATCATGCAAGCTCCTGCAGATGCAGGTGTTACCGATCATCACCCGGCCTGAGTTCAGCCACCCTTCGGCTTCGACAAGTGCTCCTCGCGCATTCGCAGTCTGGAGCGCCGAGATCCGTACTGCATCGGCAACGTCCCTATATTGATCGATGAACTCGGCAACTCACTTGCACGTGTGGAATGAGGCTCTGCTGCATTTCATGGCTCCTCTGGCGGTTTTCTTTGACTTAAAAAGGGGGGGCTTGCGCGACATGGAAGCTGAATCGTCACGCAACAGAGTATAAATCAGTCTTACATATATTTTTGAAACATGACTGAACCTGTTTGGGATGATGAACACCAGAGATATTTACGCACGCACTGGAACGAACAGTACGGGCGCTACTACAGAAACCACTTTGTAGAAGGTCTGTGGACCTTCACTTGTTCTTTATTTCTGCTTTTGTATCTTTGCTTTTTAAGAGGCTAACGCTACAACTACATCTAGGAGAGGGCTGGGCATTCTTTGACTGGCTTCCGCTTCAAGGCCAACCCACTCGCGCCGATTCACCACATGATGCTCGAGCAGGGCCAGCTTCTACCCCAGCTGTAGAAGGGCCAGAGATCAGAGGCACTTACAACTATAACCAACCCGCGCCGAACAGCCACGTGGAATCGTTGGACTCTTGTATAGTGCAAGCCCCCTTGCAAATTGAATAATGCTGATTGCGTGCAGCTTACTATGTCCGACCCAGCAGTTTCTTTACTGTTGGCAAGGTAGAATAGCCTACTTATACGTGAAGTGAACTTCCTACTCATGACGTGCTAGGTCTTCTCGGTTTTGTTCAGTGAAGCCGCTGGCTCGACAGCAACTGCATACAACAACTCCATTTCTATTGTGAGGTACGGAGAGTATGTGCATAGCCAGATCCGACGTTTCATCGTAGTTGGGCCCAGGCATGGATTTTGCTTCGCCGTGTAAGTGATGTGGCCCATCAAACTTGCGCGTGTCTTTGACAAGTTTAGCCCCATCTTCACGTACGGTGGCCAGGGTACGAAAAAACACGGTGTATTGCCCAGTGCACATGCAATCGCCTACTCCCTCGGTTCTACGCCTTCCCTGTTAGAAGGCGAAAGCTCCCTTGACAAGGACTCTATCTGCAAGTCACCCAAGTACCAATCCCTTTGAAGGCAGATTCTAACACTGAAGACCAAATCAGGCATCATGATGGCGCAAGGAGTACCTCCGCTATCTCAAGCATCGCGAATCTTCTTCGGAATCCACCACCCTACCCAGCACAACGTCAAGGTCAAGGAGATTGGCGACGTTCACCCTGATCACCTTCGCAGGCTCTTGGGTTATTGGAACACACAAAACTACTCCCCCGGCGACTAAGACACGTAGCATCACCCTCGTGTCACTGCCACTAACGCCCACATGCGATAAGATGCACCTATCTGCCGCGTCATACCTGAGAATTGAGGCCCTTCTTTCCTTCTATCCACAATACGTTACCTTTACAACTCGCACAATGTTACCATTCGTTCGTTATCTGCACACACTTTATGAGACTGGATCACGATCTCCCAATATTCTCTGCAATGTAAACGGCCGCTCAAATTGTATCTAATGAATATGACGTATCAAATATCCTTGTTAGCCAGGGTATATACTTAATGCACATTGCATATCGTGATGTCTGATCCCTGTCAAATTGGATGGTATCGGGTGCCATTCTGTGGATCTCTCTGTCTCATCTCTGAGCTACAGGGCACGTAAAGAGCAATCCCGGTCGCCTGCCAAGTACTGAGCAGCACGGGGTTAGACGACAAAGACATCCATGGTGCCCTTCCACTTTCTCGTGCAACAGTTATCATCCTCCTTCCTTCGAATTACCCCACCTTGCTAGAAGCGCCCGCCTTCAAACATGCAAATAGTCACCGAGAAACAAAGACGGTTGTGCATGATATTACCAACAGGCTCTAGATACAATATCACCAATCACATACGTATCCAGTCCCCGCAGCAACATGGTCCGCAGCCGCGTTGCATATTCATTGTATTGGTCAACCGTTCAGAAGCGGCCCGGCGGCCGGCACGTCCCACACGGGAGGCCTAATAGAAGTCTACGTAATGGCACTACGGAACTCTTATTTGCCTAGGAAAAACGATAAACGTGTCAGTTGACACTTCGCTGCATAACGCCCATGGCGAAGTCGCCTGACATCGTCGTTCGCATGGTTCCGCGGACAAGAATCCATTGTACGCATGTCGCGGTCAGTACACAAAAACGTTTACGTCTCTCTATTGGTGGCCGCAATTGACAACTTTCACAGTCAGCTCCGTGCATGTCTGGCAAGGATAGGAACAAAAGCGAATGACAGTCGTACATGCTGGTGGCATGGCGCGTATCCCACGTCAACGTCTAGACATCATACACTTTTTATTGGCTACAGTTGGTAGGCGACGCGCGTTACGCTCATGCCGAACTTGTCCTTGAGGCTTGACACAACCGAGGCTGGGGGAAAAAAGCACCAACCAACCTTCTCTAAAGCAGCACAATATACTGAAACTTGTCACAGTTTCCTAACTCGGTTGTTATTCCGGAAGGACCGGCCAAGAGAGATGTCACCATCCGAACAAGATGGTTGGTGGACCATCAGATAAATGTTACTACAGTGCGGAAGGATATGTCCGGTCTTATTTGAATGGGCCGTCCTTCCTTCTGGCCGTACCATAACCAGTGTATTGACCGGCTCATCTCCACATCCCATGCCTTAATTGTCGGTAATAATCAAACACCGCGAAAAGGCAAAAAGGCATCTCGGAGCCCGACGAATGCGGTTTCACAGGACAACATTTGATGGCGGGACTGTGCACATGGCGCAAACGAGAGGTGCGTAGGCGTAGTGCACGCGGTCATGCTCGAGAAGTCGCGCTGTCGGCGTTAATTGTTGTACAGAAAGCCATCTAATCGGCGACCTTTCCTCTTAGCCTCAAAGAATCCACGGCTTTATGTAGGGCGCAGGCAGATAAGGTGCCAGTCCCACGGGAGCTAGGCGCGGGTTACTAAGTGGGGTTGAATGCGGGCCGCTGCGACTCCACTTCTCAGGCTACACGGCATGTGCAACCAGCCTTTGTACACCAGCCTTGTCACTCCGATTTTTTACATTCACGACACTGCGCAGTTTTCGTGTCCCAAAGATGAGAGCTGAAGAAATTCTGTGGGTTACGGATGACATTTGTCTTCAAGAGAACGTAAGTTTGTGGCTTGAGCTCGTTCACAGATAAGACACTTGGCGAGGCCTGATTGAGTACTTGTCCCAATCCTTCCGTTTAGAAGTATCAACCACCCGGCCGGAGAATGGTCAAGCATAACCGATAGACGCCTCGTAGAATCCGTCATCTTGGTTAAGTGGTTCTATCGGACCGACGAGAGCGTCTGCCTTGTTTTCTGGATCTACCGGTGCTCCAGTGCTCACTCACAGCCGAGAAATAGTCCTGCTGATCATGTTGTGTCACCGGCCGTCTTAAGCCAACACCCGACAGGGTGGGATGAGATGGCTACTTGTGGTGGGTTACACAAAGGCGTGTAGGTAAACAACTTGCCTTTCAGCCCTCTCATCTAAGCACTGCCTTTTCGATATCATGATATCATCAGCCATAAAGAGGAGTTGCTTTTTTTATTGATATGCGACTTGAGAATAGTAATCTGATCATTACACGTGATTCCTGCCAGATTTCGTGCACGCTTGAATAGGGAATAGAAATCAACCCCTCAACTTAAGAGACTACGCACGTGATATGTGAATGTCGTTTTACATCTTTCTGGGTATCTGTAAAAGTCCGGAAAATACATACCTTCAAGTCGACTTTATCAAAGATACATAAATTCACACATTTCTCAAGGAAACAGAGACAATACTCGACATCATGTGATGCTTTAAACCCCATTGCGACATACTCTCAAAGAAATAGACACTACACAGCCACAAACTACATATTCTCCAAATCCAAAACTCACTGTCCAGCTCATTGCCCTCGAGTCATCCACAACCTCCACATCACACAAGGCATTCTTCCATCTCAACCCACCAGATAACAATCCTACACCTCGATTCACCCAATCTCTTTTCTTAACGAACCTCCCAAGCACAAACATACTTTGAAGCATCCTACCTCTCCAGCACAACCCCTTATTACACCTCCCATCCCCATCTTTATCCACGGACCCAGAACTACTTGGCTCACCGACAACACTGCACTATCCTTTCTCTTCATCTCCGAATATGAACCAGTCTCATTAGTCTCATACTTTCAAAGTCATTTCTGTCCATTGGGTAACGAACCGCCAGTCACATTTTCTCTTTATCTACTCAATGCACCATCCTTCGATATCCTTCGACCTATCTCGAACCTGGCATCAGTGACTACATGGAATAAAGAAACAGCAGAAACGAAGATATATCGGAAACTTTGACATGTATCGTCACGCAGGGGAACATTTCAATCACAATTTTGCTACTCCAGTAGCACGATAAGTGGGCTGTAGTATACACTCACGTAAGTCATGGCAGGTATATTGCATCGTATTCATCTCGAAAATGCCAACTATTACCATTTTCATCTCCTTACGCCCTTCTGGCACGTCCACCTCTATTTCTTCCCCTTACCCCGTGCATTGAATGTTTTCAACGGATCCACTTTACCATTCCGCTTGACCACTTTCCTCCCCCTACCCTTGACAAACCTCTTACGATCGGGTTTTGGAAGATTGAGTCCGACAAACCCTACATCTTCTGGCTTTTTACCACCCGGTAACAGGTAGTCTGGAACGTGCTTGAGATGCGGTTGTATCCTGAGGGGGTGGTTGAGAGTCTGGTCATGGCGGAGATGGGCGAGGGCTTCGGGGTTTTCTTCGAACTGGGAGTAGTGTTAGAGTGGCTCAGCGGAATTGATGGGAAGGAAGGAATGAACTTACGTATCGCGAGAGCTTCTGCGATTTGGCAAGCTCTGAGTGGATTTCTTTGATGCGGGCTTCTCGGATAGCGATTCGCGTGACTGACTTGAGCGCGTCTGCAAAGCGGTATCGGAATGGCTCTAGGCGCTTCATGTCGAAGTTGTAGTTTTCTAGCTTTTGGCCTTCTTGTTGGTGCTTCTCGACCTTTTTGAGAACTTCCTCGTCGTTCTCGCATCCGGCGAAGCTTGTAGGCTTGTGTTTTCTGTACTTTTCCTTGGGAATTATGAATGAGATGGCGGTTCCAGACTTTCCTGCTCGCGCAGTCCTTCCTATCCGGTGGAAATAGGACTTGTAGTTGCCAGGGAAGTCAAAGTTGAGGACACAGGCAACATTCAAGAAGTCGATACCTCGAGAAACGCCTGAGTCTTTGCTGTCGTTATTCCTCTTTGCTTTCTTCTTCTTTGGCTTCGAGTCCTCGTCTTGGACTCCGACCACGTCGTTCTCATCACTGGCGATGAGAATGTTATACACATTTTTGTTGAATTCCTCCACGATGTGAGTGCGTGACGCAAGCGGAAGTTCTGAATTGAGCACGGCGCTCTTAATTCCGAATTGTTCGAGAAAGAGCTTAACGCGATATGACCGGTCTACATCACCAACGAAGACAATCGTCTTACCCTTGATCAGCTGCAATTTGAACATGGCGTAGATCAAGAGAAACTTTTCGTCTTCAGCAACCTTCAAAACATATTGCTTCACCTACGATGCGTTAGTGTGCATTTTCAAGCTGGATATGCGAATATGACTTACCCTTTTCGAGTCCTTGTCGAGATCGGCAAGTTTGAGAATAACAGGATCGATACACAGCAGGCTGCCGAGAGCCTCGACGTCGGTGGAGAGAGTAGCCGAGAGAACAATCTTTTGCACGCCAACGGGTATCTCACGAGCGATGTTGGTCATATCCTCAGCGAAACCATAACCGTTCATCAAATCACCTTCGTCCACAACCAGCGTACCGAGGTCGTTCACGGCCAATGTAGAGTTGTTGATGTTGGTCCATGCCCTCGCTGGTGTAGCAACGACTACTTCTGGCTTATCGGCGAGCGCTGCCTTGACGACGGCATCCGACTCCTTGCCCGCAATGTTCCGTACCCTAATCTCCTGACTACAGTGTTGTGCGAGGGATTTGGCGACATTGGCAATCTGCTGGCACAACTCCCTTGTTGGAGCCAGGATGAGCGACGTCTGCTTCCGCTGTAGTGTTTTGTGTAGGATGGGAAGAAGGTAGGCGGCTGTCTTTCCTGTGCCAGTTCCTGATCTAGCCAGAATATCGCGGCCTTCTAGCGCCAGCGGTATGGCCTGTGACTGCACTGCCGTGGGTGACGCCCATTTCAGATCACGGATTGCTCTTAACAAGCGGGGTTCTAGCTGGAGTTCGGCAAAGGATGCGAAAGGCGTTGGCTCTGCCGCCTTGGTAGCTTTTGTGGATTTCTTGTTCTTCGGCGTCGCGGTGGTCGTCACAGGTTCCGTCGCGGTCGCTGCAGGTTGCGAAGATTCGGGCGAAGTGCTGCGCTCAGACTGTGGTTCGTCACCTGACGTTTCTTCTGGCACATCGTGCTCGTTCAACTTTCGCTTTGCCATTCTGAAATGTGTTGCAAGAACCTGCGCTTTGCAATGGCGATGTCGATGTTGTGTCGTCCGAGTTGTGCGCGCAATCTGAAGGGCAACTTCTAACTTTTTTGACGCTAACGCGGGCAATTGGCTTGGCAAGCCCCACCGCGGAGGAGCCATAGCATTGCCCGGCGCCGACATTTGTAGACGTTCTTCACTTGCACACATTCAATTCAGAAACATTACTTGTCTTGCCAGACATATAAGTTAATTAAATTGCAAGATAAATATTGGATTAAAAAAACAATACGCATCGTCGCGTCCCCACCAGAAGATGATTTGCCCGGCTGGTGGTTCATTGAACCCAGCTAGTCACGTGCTCAACCTATCGATCCAAGCAAGCCTTGGTTCGTCTTGCAATAATCATCGCAGGTAATCTAGGTCGTCTTGTCAGTAGCTGTCATGTCCAGTCGCAATTAGATACTAACCCTAGGCAAGTTCTTCCGTGCGCCATCCTGCGCCGTTCGGTTCAAGTTGTTTACATATTCCGTAATCTCTGGACTGCCCAGATCTTTGAGCGCCTTCAGAACCGCATCGAGGGTCGCCTGATCCGGCCCCTCATTATTCGTACTCATCAAATCGATACCTGGTGGTGTCTGCGTGAGATTGGTCGCCGTCGAGTAGCTCGCATAGTAAGGCACTCTGTTGGCATCGCATCCCCATACCAAGATGGCGAATCGACTGGTAGCACCCTTAATAATCCCAGTTGCTGCAAAGTCTAGCACAGCCGGTAGATGTGGATCTGGGGTATCAATGCCGTACGTAGTGAAGATAGTGTTATTGCCTGGACGCTGAAACGAAAAGAGGTCGTTTACCAAACCCGTCGGGTCCGAGGGGTCGATTGGAGTTGGGTCGTACTGTATATTACGCATTGCGGCATACTGGGGATTGGTGGCGAGAATCATCCACCATGGCTTGAAGTAGAAGCCCACAGGCGGTGGGCACCATGGTTTCCCGTGATGGTGCTGGCTAGTGGTATCCAAAAATGGTGGGATGCGAGCTTCTACACCCTCTGGGCCAATGTTCCGCGGACATCCGTCGGGAACGTAACGAGCGGACGCCAGAAGCGCAAATGCGCTCGTAAGAACTGTACTGAGAATCATTGTGTTGGTTCAAGATAATACAGCGGAAAGTGTGGGGTTGTGTGTTTCAATATATGTTTTTCAGCTGGACAGCCAATATATACCTGGTTAGGAAAGAGGCTGAGAGTCCTGCATACGCCCCTGTGATTACGCATAACAGGCCGCATATATGGAATTTTGATCGGCTTAACCGGCTCGTAGTCGTACGAGATTTCGAAGCCGTCTTCTCATTCAACTCCTGCCGTGTACCTGCATTCGTCCGAAATTGTATGATGCTTCACCCATATCTAGTGGAGACACCAAGCGGACAACCTGGATGCAGTAGTAAAGTCTCCGTAAGCGAGGCTCGGGATCGTCATTGCCGTAGAAATGGAGCAAAGCGGATCGAACCGCCAGATTTATCTCAAGCAGCGCAAGTTCCGTCTCTTGTGAAATATCTCATTATATATACTAGTGTTGGCTATGGATACGGAATGCTATAAGCATTGATCGGAGGACCGTAGAGTGGATTGAACGTAATCTACCACACGTAAAACTTTAGCCAGAAGATTTCAAGAATACCTGGAGAACAATACGTGTCTTGTGTGTCTATTTGTAATAAGCTTTGGTCGATGAGAAACGTGAGAAGCTTACGGAGTCGTGGTCGATCTCGTGAGGTGCTGACAGGCCCATGCGCATCTTAACTGAGTAATCTCGCCGAACAAGATTGCAGTGTACAGATACCCTGATCCTCCAATGATAAAAGATCAATGGCTACTTGTCAGTCTTAGCTGGGCAGGTAAACTCTGACTGTGTATAGGAACAATCGGTTGTATGTAGCATAACCGGTGCCTGAAAGTAGATCGACACGACCGTTATCCGTCTCTTTGCTAACACAGCATACTAACGCCTATACATATCATCACGACGACAGAGTACGAGGGCTCCACTGTAATTCGGTCATCCCTTCTCCAGGCCGCAAGAGTACTTGGAGAATGTCCAATAACGAAACCCAAGATTCCTGCTTACTGGCGGGCCGATTGGACAATGCTTGACACAACCTTATGTGTACCCGAGCATGGACAAATGCATAACCTTTGACTTTATGCTGATCTTTACCGCCTCTTAGGTTAATCTTTCTCTGACGAAATTGATCTCCAAATCCAGCCTACAATCTCTCTCTTTCCTTGCACACATAATACGCAGGCACAACATCCCACCAGAACGCATGAAAGACAACTACACTTCGAGATGCACATGATACACATCTTTGTCAAAGCGATCGAGTAACAATCTACCAGTACGATGCAGGTCCATGTATGCCGTGGAGAAATGCGGTAGCTAGGGTACACGACCTGCACGGCCGACTTCGGGGCCCACCGTCGGCGCCATGCCATTGGATCCCAACCCCAGCTTATCTCGCATTCTATGTTTACCTCATCGAAACCTCCAACAACATCTCCATCTCGATACGCCAAAAGTCTCCACGCCCAGCACCCATCTGCATACATATGGCGATCCCCACGCGACCGTTTTGCACATGCCAGCCATTAAGCGTTGAGATGAGAAAAAATTCCGGCTCGCAATGGTAGGGCTCAGGCCGCCGCTGGAGTGGGGTCCAGGGTTAGTGATAGCGCGGTTACCTGGGCCTGTTCCCTTATCAGCATAAGCGAAGCCATCCCGCAGGAAAACCCCAACCAGCTCAGAAGCTGAGTGAAGGAACTCCGCGATAAGGCGATGAATCGACGGACCAAGCTGCGAAGTTGGAGGCCTGGCCTAGAATGGTTTGCAGCACACGCACAGCTCTAAGTCTTACCCCAGCTGCTGGATGTCTAATCTTTGGCCAATCATGTCTGCGTATCGAATCTATGAACGTGAATCTTGTATGTGTATCTGGGGGTGCTGGAGATAGCGCGGTTTGGTACTAACGGATTTTTTTCACGGATACTTAGTGCCGATGTCGATGTGATGGAAATATAGATGGCCTCGATTGCCCACTGAGGTAGCAAAAACTCAAGAAGCGTCTTGGACCTCAACTCTCATACTCCACAACATAGCTCGACATGGCTGGTGGTGGTACACCTATTGGGCCCTCGGCTTCTCCTCTGGGACAGGCTTGGGGCTATGGCATCGTTCTTGGTATCGGTTTCCTCTTTGCACTTGGCATGGTAAGCCCTTCCTCCGATGCAATACTTGAGTATCGTGCGTTGACAGCTTCAAGGTCTTTACCACTTGGGTCCTCAAACGTTACAACAATGAATTGCAAACTTCCGAGATGTTCTCGACTGCGGGACGTACCGTGAAATCTGGACTTGTAGCTTCCGCGGTTGTGTCATCTTGGACATGGGCAGCTACGCTATTGCAGAGCTCTTCCGTCGCATTTCGCTATGGTAAGCTGGGAAACTTGGTTGCGCTGATACAGCAAAATCTGACAATATTGTAGGCGTTTCTGGGCCTCTCTGGTATGCTGCCGGAGCTACTGTCCAGATTCTGTTGTTCGCTACTGTTGCCATCGAGCTCAAGAGGCGAGCACCAAACGCTCATGTAAGCGAATGCAATCAATCACGCCAGCATACATATACTAAACATGTATTAGACATTCCTCGAGGCCGTCCGCGCTCGCTATGGAAAAGCAACTCATTTCGTGTATATTGCCTTTGGCCTGTTTACAAACATCCTTGTGACAGCCATGTTGCTTACTGGTGGATCCGCCGTCATCAGCTCTTTAACTGGAGTGCCCACGGCAGCAGCCTGTTTTCTTCTTCCCCTTGGTGTCGTTGTGTACACCATGTTTGGCGGAATCAAGGCTACTTTCCTTACCGACTACGTTCACACTGTCATTCTGCTCATCATCCTTCTCATCTTTGCTTTCACGACCTACGCAACTGGCGACAGGCTTGGATCGCCAGGGGCTGTTTACGATCGCCTGCAAGAGCTCTCAGCCACCACACCCGTGCCCGGAAATGCTGGTGGAAGCTATCTGACAATGAGGAGCAAAGACGGTGCTATTTTCTTCGTAATCAACATCATTGGAAACTTTGGCACTGTCTTTATGGACAATGGCTGTAGGTTTTTCCAGAGTAATTTTCCGTGTGCAGAAGCTAATTCGTGGCAGACTACAACAAGGCTATTGCTGCGTCACCAGTCCATGCTCTTCCCGGATACATAATCGGTGGTCTTTCTTGGTTTGCAATTCCCGTAAGTCTCTTGCAACATTTTTCTGTAAACAATCATTGACATCTCATAGTGGCTCTGCGCAACAACCATGGGTCTCGCGGCCCTCGCACTCCAAAGCACAGAGTACTTCCCCACGTACCCTGCAGTTATGGACGAAGCATCCATCAGCGCCGGACTCACCCTTCCATATGCTGCAGTTGCTCTCCTCGGATCTGGTGGTGCCGTCGCAACTCTCCTTATTGTATTCATGGCTGTGACTTCTGCCTTTTCCGCCCAACTCATCGCTGTGTCGAGTATCTTGACATATGATGTTTACGGCACCTACATCAACACCAATGCAAGTGGTCGCCGCCTCGTGTACACCTCGCACGTATGTGTCTGCGGATTTGGACTCGTTATGGCTGGATTCTCGACAGGACTGTGGTATGCAGGTATTAGGTGAGTGATTCCCAGCCCGAGTCTACGGCTAGAAATTTGCTAACATCAACAAGCATGGGATGGCTCTACGTTTTCATGGGCGTCATAATCTCATCTGCTGTTCTCCCCGCAACCCTCACCCTCATGTGGAAGGGCCAGAACAAATGGGCTGCCACTCTCTCCCCCATCCTAGGATTATGCTGCAGCATTACTGCCTGGCTCGTAACCACCTCCAAACTAAACGACGGCGTCATCACCGTAGCCACTTCTGGCGCCAACAACCCCATGTTGGCCGGTAACGTCGTCGCCCTATTATCCCCCGTAATCTTCATCCCCGTCCTCACCCTGATCTTCGGAGTTGGTAAGTGCCTCTCTTTTCCACAGTCACCGATATATCCACTAACTCAACCCCCAAAAAGACAACTATGACTGGGTCTCAATGAAAAACATCCGTCTAGTCGACGACTCGGATGTCACAGCAGCCGCACACTTGGACCTCGAAGCCGTACACGGCCGACACGCCGCTTTGTCCCCAGAAGCTGAAGCTGAAGAACAAAGAAAGCTCTTCCGGGCCTCGAAAATCGCAAAAGTCACTACCGCGATAATGACTTTGATCCTCCTCATTCTCTGGCCCATGCCGCTCTATGGCACTGGCTACATCTTCAGTAAGGCCTTCTTCTCCGGCTGGGTCGTCGTCGGCATCATCTGGCTCATGTGCTCTACGATGGCTGTAGGTGTCTACCCGCTGTGGGAAGGTCGCCAGAGCCTCGTACGCAACTTTGGTGGTATGTGGCGCGATGTTACGGGTAAGCCGCGACAAGCAGGTCCTGTTACAGTGCTCGAAGGGGAGAAGACGGCCGAGTCCGGGACGCAGACGCCTACGAAAGAAGCAGAGGCTAAGTCGTTGGAGAAGTAAGTTGGAGTGGTGGGAATTTGCGTGGTTCTCTTTGGAAATACCCCTGATGTTGGATTAATGGATGTATCGACTTGCGAATTCAGTCTTTAATTAAAACTATATCATTTTGGATATAAAAGTGTTTGATCTTGCACTTTGATTACCGGGTTATACCCTAAGCCGGATGAATCTCCCAACCCGGAAACTTCACCCGTCTAGTTGTCAAAGATATGCGAAAGAAACACCCTTGCAGCCTCATACCGGCCTTTCGAATCCAAGTTACTCCTGATGATCTGTGTGAGGACCGTTTCGCCATGACTAGCCTGTCTTATAATACTCTGCAGGCGGTGCACCAAGAGACGCAAAATTCTTGGGTTGCAGTGAAGTTGATGACAAAGCTTGCCCTCTGAAAAGAGGATTTTAAGCTTGGATAAATCACCCTATTGCATTGTTTAATCGGCAGCGTTCAGGATAGTTAAAGGTCGGTAACTGTCTTTATCAAAGTCTGGATCCTGGAGCATGAAGCGGAGCATTGCATCCGAGCCGTAAAGCGAAGTAATGCTAAGAGAATCGTGCAAACCACTATCAAATCGAATCGGGCCTTGACTGCACAACCAGGATGAAAATTTTGATTGATCCAGTTGTGTAGTCGCATCGAACCCGCTTGGCACAACCTCTGTAGCTTTTCTAGGCATGAAGATAGTTCGCTCTCAATGGCGCCTGAATATTTGAGTCAATGGCTGGATGCTTAACCGAAGAATTCACTAAAGCCACGCTTAGTAGCATCATAGTATATTATGTCTTCTTCCTATACTTCCCATGTGCAAGTGACATCGTACTCGAAAGGCTCTTGGTCGCCGAACAGATCGGCGTCTTGAGGGAGCTCATTGATTGCGATCTGCTCGTCAGAGAATAGTGGGATAGTGACAATCTCTTGCAGTAGAAGATACTTCATGCAAACGTCTAATATGAAAGTTTCCAAACGCTCGCCGGGAGGCGCATTGGACGCTGTCGATGTATCGAGTTCTTTGAAATTTGACCAGTCTTGTATAATGAATTCCTTCATTGACTGGTGAACGAGTCGAACCTGGCGCTTTCTGAGATCTGCAAAATCAACCCGGGTGATGAATAGATATATCAAACTCATCACTCTTTGATGGTCCACAGACTGAGCGAGACTAACAACAGTGTCGATTTCGTGGTGAGCCACAGCCAGTGGCATAGAGACCCGGAATGGCGGTTATCACAGTGCTAGTAAAAGGGTTTATTTGCTGGCCAGAAGATCTAATCGTGGCCGTGCCGCATAAGTGGGGTCAGTGTTCGTGGAGTGTCATACAGCGAGTGGATCAAAACACGATTCTCTTGAATTGCAGGATGTGGTGCATTTATAGAATCATAGCTTATAGTTTTTATACTACTTTCTAATATTGCCAAAAAAAACCGTATATGTGCATCGAAGCAATCAGCCCGGCCTAACTTGCTCTTGTGGCTGCCTACACTGTCTTCTATCTGTAGATCTGGCGACTTTGCACTTTGAATGTACCATTGGTATTTGATGGTGGGAGATCGAACGAAGTTTGGGTTTTTTACCCATGCGAATTGCTGTAAGTTTGCGCCTGTATGGCATCTTCTAGAACAATATGATCACGTATTTAGACCACACGGTTCTCAGCATGAGACGTCCATTTGAATCTATTCGTCTCATATCTATCTGCCCCTTGGTTGAATAATTGGTGTGATATAATGTTGGTCTGATTAGCTTTGTCAAGTTTCTATACGCCTAATTACTAGTAAGTGCCTATGTTCCATCTATCTATGGACCCGCCAGGAGGTGAAGGTGGGAGCTAGACTACTTTAGGAATCGGTTACAGGCAGCCACACGCTACCACGCATCACCACAGTGAAGGTGTCTGCCGGCCGTCATATAGCCCAGAAGCTTGGGACATCCACGAGTGATACCCGATTAGGAAATAATTCCAATCACGACCCCCTCGATTAGTATGTGGCGTGAAAGGATGCGCTGAGTCAGTCACAAAGGAAGCGTCTCGGCGCGAATAACTTTACAACGCCGGTAACAGCACGCGCCCACTTCTACGTTGATAACACACAATGCTCGGCCAAACAGCTATATCTATCTTTACAAATTCATCGCGCAATCCGTCATATACTTGAAAAAACACAAGAAGTTCTCCAATCGCTGCGCCGTAGATTCAGCCTCAACCCAGAACGCCTCCCCCACCATCACCATCACCACTACGTACTAGGATTATCACCACATAACCTACCTCAAACCACCACCATGAACAACTCCAAATACGCACCCAAAACCCCCGCCGAAAAACTCGCCGAATCCAAGTCCGAAAAGCTCAAAAAAGACAAAGACCGCATAACCCGGCTCCTCGTGCGTCTACAATGGAAAGCCGAACTCCTCATGCTCTCCTACCTCCGCACCCTCGACCTGCTGCAACGTCAAAACACCACCTTCACGCCCTCAATGTTCCAACTCGACTTCTTCGAATTCTACACATTGCTCGAACGCTACATAGTATCTTTGCTCTCTCTATTCCACATCTCCATTTCCTCGTCCCTCGCCGCCCCCGAACAGCGTCAAAACTTTAATTACTTGCGCTACGAAACAAACCCCGAGTTGCGCCAAACAAGGCCAATGGCTGACCACGCGTTCCATGCTAATCTTCTAGAAGCCCTGGATGATCCCGAGGGCCCTTTTAAGAAGTGTCTCGGGGAAGGAGAGGTGAGGGTGCAGTTGGGGAGGGCGAAGGAGTGTAGGAATATGTGGAAGGATGCGGATTGTAAGCAAGGGGGTGAAGGGGGGAGGGTGGGACTGCAGGAGTTGGGGGTTGAGGGCATGTTGAGGGGGATTTTGGGCGGGTGTGAGGAGGCAAGGGGTGTGGCGATGGAGTATCAGGGGGGTGAGGGTAATGGTGCGGGTGTGACGAGTCGGGAATTTGAAAAGATATATGAGGCGGAGGGTATGGAGGTTGAGGACGTGCCGTATGAATATATGGATGATGCGATGGATTTGGATTAGATGGTTGGAAAGGTTGGGCTGGGTGGTTTGTGTTGTATAACATTTTAGAGTTCTTTGTTCATGTTCAAAGCCATTTACTTGGAAAAATAATTGGGGTGATTGGGGTATATCTCATTCTCATATATCTTTTGTACACAAACTACTCTTGCAACACACTATCCGCACGGAACCTGTTGCCCTCTGCTTTACCAGATTTCTGTACACTCTTCGCTCTCTTCTCTTCTTCAGCCTCCCACTTACACCTCTCTTTGCAGTCCCAGCATACGCTCCGTTTGCAGATACGCATGTCGTACTTCCACTCATGCCTATTCAGCATCTCCTGGCAGTGGCTACAATCCAGCGGGATGACAATAGATTCCAGATCGCCTCTTCGTCTTGCAACGCTCAGTCCCTTACTCGTTCTGGTGCGAATAGTCATCTCGCCCGAGGCATCGTGGTCTATGCCGTCAAAGACGACCAGTTTGTCGAACTTGCACCACCATGCTGGGCGTCCAGTCTTTTCTGTGCATGCACGTATCGAGGAGCTGGTGAAGGCGTTGGTGGCGACACCTGGGCCGGGGATCCAGCATCCATCTTCTGGAGTTTGCGGAGGAGTGAAGATTCGGACTTTGTTCTCGCTTCCTGGGGTTTTCTTGGGTGTTAAGTTGAGACGTTCTTCCAGGAGGGCGGTAGGAGAGCGTAGCGCTGCCTTGGATTGCGTCTTGGAGTTGCGAATTAGGGCATAGCGCTGCTCTAGTTCTGAGCAAGGTTGAGATGGAGAGGATGAAGTGGTATTCGTTGCTAGATTTAGCTCTGCAGGTCTGCGGAGACGCGCTATTGAGGTTTTGCGCTGGTGTGTGGCTGGTTTGGCCGGGGCGGTCTGCTTTGGTGACATGGATGGAGTGGAGGCTGTGGGTTGCGATGAAGGCATATGGTCGTCGTTTTTGGAGATTTCGACATTATAGTTGTTTTCTTTTGGCGTTGTTGTGGATACATCCATTACAACCATGGGAGGGTACTCGGGAGCAGTCTCGCTGAACACGCATTGTTCGGAGACCCGAGACCGAAGAGGCGATTGCTCTACCAAACCCTCTAGAGGTGAGTCGATCCGTTCAGCAGTGTTTTCAGGTACCGGTGAAACGAACGTCTCTCTTGTGCACGCACCATCAACCTCTGTCGTCACCTGTGGGTGACACATTGGTGGCTGAATATCTAATTCATCAAAAAGAAAAACACCTGAATCCTCTTTTCCTGGATCGAGATCTAGGTTTTTTGGTATAATGGTATCGGGAATGTCGACTTCATCGCATGTTGTATGTGTAGCAAGCAGTGGTTCATGTGCCGGCTCCTCTGTCTTGGGGCTCTTCCAAAAACTAAAAGATGGCATGGTGATAAAGTAGCAAATAGAAAGAGGGTGAACGAGTGTAGAGAAGGACAACCAAGGCAAAAGCAATTTGTGAACCGATCCTGGAGTTTATATCTTATCTTACCTTTCTTTTTGTACTTCAAACACCGAGGCCATCCTCGTACTTGCCTCGATGGCATAGTATTTCCTAACCCCTACATCCCAGTGCTTTACTGGTACATACTTACGTACACCCTGTCCCGTTGATGTTTCGTTTCGTGGTTTCAGGCCACAGAAACATTACTCGGGAAGGTGAGAACTGTATTCGTTTGTATGCTCAGCCCCGCGGGGAAATGAGGTTGAGTATGGTTTTGAGTAAGGTCATAGCAAGTCGCGACACATACATGGAGAAACAAGAGGCGTAGTTACTTTTGCCTCTGTGGTTTGAAACATTGCTGTGGCTGTGATTGGTTGGGTTAGGCTGGCGTGGAGGGGTGTCAACCAATGTGCAGGGTAAGCGTGTGTCAGGTGGAAATTGAACGTGTTTATGCCGATAGGCGTATGGAAGGACGGTAGAAGGAAGATGGACGGCAGAATGGGAAACATGTTTATGCCGTTGTAGTGGAGGGTATGAGAGGAGGGAATGTTTATGCAGAGTAGTGAGAGATGAGCGGGGTGGTGGGGTGGGAGCGGGGAACACGAGGAGTGGTCGTTCAAGTGCAAGAGGGATGTTATGGTGAGGGAATGCAGTGCACCTCTTGTAGAAGGGGTGAGGATACGGCAGAGGAGAGAAGTAGGAAAAGTAATTGGAGGCTGAGGCGACGATTTCATGATTTCATTGCTTGCCTTGTGGTTGGATGGGGCTTGAAGGCATGGAAAGAGCAACCTCCTATCATCACGTGATGTCCCACAAAAATTCGAACAGGCAACATTGACAAACAGATTAGTATTGTTTCACGGGTTGCATGTTAAAAGGTAGTCGGCTTGGTGGCGGTACTGCGATGACGATTTAGGCATGTGACCTCGAGTTACCTTGTCTCTACCCGTCCATCCGGTGGACAAAATTCCCGGGACTCCAAAACGGTTTGTACTAGATACTATAGTCAGCGGGACTATTTACTCACGCCTTTTTGAGATCTTTTGAGCTTATAGATATTGCTTTGAACACAGCAAAGAAGAATAGCGTAAAAAGTAAGCATTGTCACAATATTCTTGCCATGGTACTATGACGCTCTGGAGTTGCTAACTTTTTGGCGCGTCATCGATTTTGGTACTGGTCGGGTGGCCTACCTGGAGCCCCGGCATTTTGTCCACCAGATGCCGACTTCAATGCACATGCGCAAGGTGGCTGTGTATGTACGCAAGGTCTCGACCAGTTGCTGACAATATCAGCGTATAACGAGACTATTTCCAGCAGCTGCAACAGCCTCGTCTAAAAAGAGCTCACGATGACTTGGCAGGTTGGGGGCTGGTGGTCGGTATCCGGGAGAGTTGTTGGTGACGATAGGATGATGTGATGAGACCAATTACGGGCATATAGACGAGAGAAGGAAAGATGCAGGCTGTGCTAGGAACAGCAAGTGGCTGGGTTATGTTTGCCCAAAAGAAGACAAGGCGGATGGGGGATCAAAGTGGGATTTCTGTGTTTGGAAGTGGCTCCTTGTGGCTAGGTTGTGCTTTGGAGTCTCTCAAGTGCTGATCAGCAACACAAACAGTGCAAGATGGTCCGAATGAGCGGTACAACTCCGAGACCGACGAGGACATGGACATGGTCTGGATAGTCTGGTATGGTGTTATCACGGCGAGTGGGGCAGCACATTGTGAGGCTGCAAAGTCGAGCAAGCTACTAGTCATGTTTTCTGTTGTTGCGCAGGCAACCACACCGCCCACGATGATTTCAATGCGGCTCCGACGAGCAAACCATGGTTTGCAAGACATGCGACGGACATGGAGGGCAGAGTTTGGTCGAGACTAGCGCACGCTGCTTTTGTTGACTGTGGTGGTTCCGAGGGCGAGCAAAGTGTGGTAGTACCGCACACGACTGAAGGCGAGGGGAGCTGATTCGCCCAGATGCAGCGCAGCGCCCGTCTGAGGTGAGGACGAGCCGGCCCTCGGGCACGCAGCGGCAGCGAGCAGAGTGTCAGACTGCAGAGACTTCGTCTGGTACGTGGGCCAGGGGTGGGGATGCCCGCACGTGGAGGCGCCTCAGTCGTCGTTGTTGCATGCAGCGTCTCGTATGTACGTACATACGACTATGTCTGGATATGTGTGTGTGTGGTGCTGTGTGCATGCTAGAGGCGTGCAGAAGTGGTGAAGGCGCACTAGCGAGCCTGACGTACCGTGTGTCTGGCCGGACGCCACTCGAACTGCCAGAGGGCTCGTAATGCCTGCTTTTTCTCTGCCCTTTACCGTGGGCGAGCGCGAGGGGGTGAAGGTTGCTACTAGTGCCATGAGCCTCTGGCGACCATACAGTGACAGAGGCTGCTCCCACTCGCACTCGCACTCCCACCCTTCCGTGTGGGCAAACGGACGGCTGGGCTCAGCTGACAGGGCCGTGGCGGGAGATTATTCTTCTTCTTGTTATAGTCGATTGTAAATACGTACATGCGTGTGTTGATGTATGTAAGTAGTATGTACTATGTACTATGTAGTAATAGTCGAGCGCGGGCTGGGGGCGATGCGCTGGCAGGTTTCGGTTCGTGCCTGGATCTGGCGTGGGCGTTGGCACCAGCAGCGTCCCAGTAGCATTCACCCATCCATCCGCATCCGCCATCCGCCCTCCGCCTGCACGCCCCATTTGCCCTGCCTGCTCCCGACTGCAAGAAAAGAGAGCCGGCGGTGCGGCGCTCTTGTCCAACGACTGCGCGCCGCGTACGCCGTCTGTTCTGTTCCATCCGCCTCGCCTGCTTTGACCGCCCATTGAACCCGGGCCTCGCTGCTATCCAGGCCCCAGTCGACGAGTGACGCGCTCCAGCCAGCTCAGCATCAGGATGCCACGGGTGCTATTGCCCATTGAAGCAAAAGCACGTCCTCGATCACAACCATCATGACTGATACCGACACCGACTCTCTACTTGCTGCCGACGACGACGCCTTCCATTCCATCTCCGGCGTCCTCGAGACTGCTGAACCCGCCTCCGCGTCCACGTCGTCGACGCAGCATTCACCACGCCAGCAGCCACTGCAACTCCCAAACCACCACCAGAACCCACCCGCTGCATCCACTGTGTCCACCGCGCCCCACAGCAACCCCGCCAGCAATCCGTCTGCCTCTGCCTCTGCCTCTACCGCTGCCGCCACCGCTCCTTCTACTGCCGCTGCCACTGTCACTGCCACTGCCAATACTACTACTGCTGCCAACAACTCCTCAACGCCCTCGATGCGGCAACATACGCTGGCGGGCCAGCGCCCTCTCAACCCGTCCATCTCGTCGTCGTCACCACTCTCCTCACGGGAAGCCTCACCTGCCCGCCCTTACCAGCGCAATGTAGCTGCTGCCGGCTCGGGCGTGAGACCTGGCTTCCGTTCGCGCAAGAGCAGCACCGACGCGAGCCCCAGCCGAACATCGAGTCTCGCAAACTCCACCACACCTGGCCCGTCGCCCACAGACCCGGTGCAGCGTGCTCACTCGGCCACAAGCATATCGGAGATCACTCCCGCAACACAATCCTCCACGCCCGACGCTGGACGCGCACCGCGTTCTATCAAGCCTGTCCCGTCCAAGTCTGCCTCGGCCGACGCAGCACCCCATTGGCCCATCTCGCCGCGGCTTAAATCACCACCGCCCTCTGACGACAGGTTCTCGCACCCTCGGAGAAACTCACTGCGCTCGCAAGTCAAAAGGCCAGAGACACAGTCGACGCCTGCCATCATCGTCCAGAGCTCGTCGCCCGCCTCGCCGCCCCGTCTGGCCGTACCCGAGCACCCCATTGCGAGCGAGCCAGACGAGCCGACGCAGACCATAAAGGCCCCCCCTGCCCGCGGATCAAGCGGCCAGCCTACCAAGCTCGAAACCGTCCAAGAGTCTAGCTTGCCTGCCACATCCGGATTTCATGGTCTAGAGCCGCAAAGGTACGCTTTTCCCCGCAACGGCCCCACTGTTTGTCATCGCGACGCACGTTAGACTAGTCGCAGACCCAATTTCCGTTACCATCCGCAAACTTTGTTAACGCATTCTAGCTTTGTTTCTTCGCTCGTCGCCCACAAATCCGATACGGATCGAAATGACGTCAACTCGTCCAAAGTCACTGAAGACCTCAGCTCAAAGCACGACTCCTTCAAGCACGACCACTCCAAGCACACGGAAAGCGGCAGTGACAGCGCGTCAAGAAGCGCCAAGAAGGGCAAGATGCAGGAGCAGCGCTCGACCTTTGCCCAGCGGCCCCAGCACTCCGTCTCTGCAAAGCCGTCGCTGTCCTCCATGTCAACACGCGCACGCGATCCGCCGCTACGCAACATGACGGTCGAAACCGAGACCGTGCCCTCGGTTGCACAGGCGTCGATTGTGAACCAGGACCGCTCCGCCTCAGGTCGTGCCGACGGTGGCATTCGTCTGAAGCCCAGCAATGAAACCATACGTCCAAAGAAGGAGAAGAAACCTCCCAAGCGAAAAGCCGCGTCCATCAATGCTGGCACCGGTAGGTTGCAACACATCTCGTACCCTCACCATACCCACACTCGGCCCGACCCTGGTGTGCTCTCCAACACACCCTCGTCTCTAGGCAGCCCCATCTCATACCGTTCGTACGATGACCATCGCTCTCTGTTGGCCTTGTCTCCCCCAAGCCCGGAAATGCGCATGTCTTCTTCTTCTTCTCGTCCTCCTCATCTCAGCTATTTTTATTCAAGCACTAACGCCAGCTACCGCACAGCTTCCTCCAAGGCGGATGTCTTCGAACAAAAGGTGGCCAGTGCAGTCGATGAGGCCGACTCCTCAGACTCTGATGCCACCTTCATCTACGAATCGAATCCCCCCGACCCGCCTCACCGCAGCCGGGGACACCATTCACGCACGCCAAGCATGACATCACTAGCAAGCCTCACAAATCCACAACTTCAGTTCCGCGATAATCAAAAGCATCCAAGCAAGAAGACTAGCACTAAATTTAAATTCACTAATCCACACGTATATCCTAGTATCGATGGAGACGATCGAGGCGAAGGTACTGTCCGCTCAGGCTCTGGGCGGGCTGGCGGAGGCAGCCACCACCATCACATCGGCGGTAGATATAGTCAGGGTCGAGGTGGGTTAAACCACTTGGTCATGGACAGTGACTCGTCGATGCCTCAGTCTTCGCGCAATCGTGGACCGACCTCGAGAAACGCATCGCAACCAAATAGCCCTCGCTTCCACACTTTCAGTGTTGGCAATGGACACAGCAACGGCTCCAAGAAGAATGGAGAGTACTCAGCTGCATACGACATTGACGCTGAGAATGCGGCCGATGACGAACGCACACCACTCATCTCTGGTCGAAGCCCACGAGCCCGGACCCCTCGCCAAAGGAATAGCGCCAATGTACGCCACCTGGAACGCCGGCATCACCGCGACAGCGGGTGGTGTCGACGCTTTGCTGGATGCTTGGTCCTTTCTATCCTGCTCTTGGTCGTCGTCTTTTGCGCCGTTGGACTTGTCTTTGCGACCACGAAGCCTCTTACAAGTCTTGTGGTACGCGACATTCAAAACGTCGTGGCAAGTCAAGAGGAGGTTATTCTGGATCTGATAGTCGACGCAGTCAATCCTAACATCATTGGAGTCACTGTTGCTGATATGGAAGTTTCCGTGTTTGCTAAGAGCAAGCATGTCGGCTCCGATACATGGTGGCGTGAACATGGCAACGGGCCACCTGACAGCGGGTCGCCTGACGACTTGGAGAAATGGCAACCCATTGAAGACCAGTCCCACCGTGTGGACACTGTTGTCCGCACCACCGGAGTTGACGAAGGAACCGATCCCATTGAAGGCGAGCCTCGCACCATGTTGCTTGGCCGCGTCAACCGTTTTGACTCGCCCTTGACTTTTGAAGGCTCGTTTTTTCAGCGGCATCGCGCAGAGTCCATTGGCGAACTTCGATTAGGGCATCCAGGCAACAAGACCGAAGCAGGGGGAAGCGAGCGCTGGGAAGAAGTCCTCCAACATCCTTTTGAACTGATTGTCAGAGGCAACTTCAAATACACACTTCCCCTGAGTACACAGGAGTTCAAGGTCCCGGTCACAGCCTCTCACTACTACGATCCAGACGTCGAAAGGAAGAAAAAGCCCGCCGCTTTGAAGGGCCTTGGAAAGAGGAGGATTTTACCACCTGTACTAACAAAGCCCTGGGGACGTTATGACCGCAGAGCACTATTGCTCTGGAATCCCCAATAGCACATACTTGCATTCTGTATCACAAAGCTCGGAGATTCGGCGGTTGCACCAGTTCAATCTTCCAAAAGAAACTGATACCCTTCTAAACATGACATTACGACCCTATAGATTTGTCCCAATCCGGCAACTGTACATCAACGATGACATTGCCAATCTCGGCTTCACAGCCTTAACGAATTTCCTTGTTACTTCTGCGTTGCATTTGCACGCCACTCCAGCACCCCTTTGAAAAGGCTGTACGCGTTTCCTCTATGGCGAATGTCAATCTTTAAGAGTACGGCCCTGCACTTTAGCGATGGTGTTTTTTTATGAAGCCTTGTTTTTTGCATTTCGACAACACGGACTTGTCTTCTGTTCTAATCAGTTTTTGCGCTGTTTGTCCTGTTTGGATTGATGATTGAAATGGATCGCTGTCGATCCGGACACATTCATTTCGTCTTGCCTCTCTTCTATGTATTTATACACACTCAGCCTACACTTGATTTGAATATCTTGTCTTCTTCTTTTTTGCTTCTCAATAACCGGCTAGGGTGCATGGAAATCGGTATGGACAGGAAAACAAAGACATTTGCATTGCGCGGGGAACAGGAAATGAAAAGATTTTAGTCTTCTTGCTATTGATTGATTCCCTTTTTGTGATTACGCCATGTTGACACCTACATGAGATGCAGGCGCAATGCATGGACGTTGTCAATGCCCCACATTCTACACAGCTTCCAAAACCAGACTATCCCACAGCCATCCTCTCCACTGCGTGCTTTTAGTAACCCTGACGTCTAGCTTATTCTGCCCTTCTTTGAGAAGGCCCCGCGGAACTCCAAACTCTAAGCGTCTCCACTCCCCGGCTCTCGTAGCACCACGATACGTATCCTGGCTATTAGCCAAGCTGGCACTGGTGATATTCCCGATTTTAGCCTCGTTGACCAGAATGTCAGCGCTGGATCCTTGGGAAAAGCCGGCAAGAGACACGACAAGTCTAGCAGCGGTACTATTGTCAGATGAGGCCAGAAAGGAAACCGACCAAGTCCCCAGTTTAGATTGGCCAAAGCACCAATCTATCGATGGCGTGCTGGTACCAACAGTATACGTCAGATTGGCGGGACATTTATCTATGCGAGCGTGTTGGACTGGAATCGTCGCGTCTGCCAGATAAAACCCATCTGTTTTGCGGTCGAAATCCCCAATTTGAAAGATGCGTTTTGTCTTGTTCGTAACGGGCCAGGTAAGTGAGGGTAACTTTGTTGTCTTTCCCTTTCTGATTTCAACATCGTTGTGCGTAAAGTTCGTTATGACATCTGCAATCGGCCTGCCGTTTCCCCACGCATACAAGGCATACATGCCAGACCGGACGTCGCGTATACGGAACGAGCCCGTATCATCCGCGTAGGTCGTGTAGTAATAATTCTGTCCCTGATCCAGCGTCGACACCGTCTCGTTGCGATTGTCACCTAGAAACACTGCTGCACCAGCCGCAGGCCGTCCATCACTCAGCAGCAGCTTTCCTTGAACCGCGCCTCGAGACTGATACGCTGCATTCTTGAACCACGCATATGGCCACTCTTTCTTTTCCCTTTCCCACCGTGCAGCAGCATCCTGCCTACTCCCATCATTTAAATACCACAGCCAAGGCCCCCAAACCCTAGCATCATCACCCACCGCAAAAGAATCGCGGGATGAGGCTTGATAATGCGTCCCATGCAGCATATTCAACTGCACTGTATCCCCCGTCTTGGACTCACGATGCAGCATCAACTCCTGCTTCAACTGATCCCCATTCAAATACTCCTTGCCGGGATGCAAATACCAACTCCCCACCTCCTCGCCCCAAACCCCATACACCGTCTGCTCGCGCAAAAAAGCAGCCCAGTCGTATTTGGTCAAGAAAGTGCCATCGCTCTTCTGCCACGTCTCGTCTTGCACATTCGTAGCGTTTTGGTACGAGGAGAACGGTGGGAGTGGCCCGCTTTTCACGTTTGTGAAGGCGTTGGGGAAGGAGCTGTTGGAGAGGCGCCATAGGGTGCGGAATTCACCAAGCGTGGGTAGCGCGCGGTTGATGAAGTATTGATATGCGCCAGCGAGGTCGTCGTGGAGCACCCAGTGGAAATCGCCTTCCGCAGCGCTGAAGCGTATGTCGAGCCAGTTAGGGCCGGATGATGCGATGGAAGCGGTGGTCCAGCGAAGGTCGGATGCTGCGCCATCTATATATGGGAGGTTTCTTGTTTAGAAAAAAATGGGGAACTCTTGTGTAATTCGTAGAGCGGTTTTGGGGGGGGCCGGAATGGATGAGATTGAAAATGGTGTTTTACGTACTGTAACTAACATAATGTCCCACCGCCTCACCCACACGATCCTTTCCTTTAAACATTAATTTATCCGCATACTGTGCGTTTTGCGTCACGTTCCAGAGCTCGTTTCCTAGGATCCATGTTGCATTTCCGATTTGGCGGAAGAAGCTTTTGGGTTGTTGGGGAACGCTGGGGTGTTGCGAGTATGCGGATGCTGATGCTACTACGCCTGCGCCACCGCAGAGAAGAGGCAGGAGAGACTTCATCTGCGCAGGATGTGAAGGGGGGTTGGGCGACGCGAAAGGAAATAGTTATTTTGATTTTAACATGCCCGTAGTTATATACGTGTACGCAGGGATCAAGCGTGCTATCCATGGTGATCATATACTTACTTTAACTACTCTCTTTCTCGGTAGATGTATACACCGAACCGCCTTTTCCCCCTCTCCCCCTTCCGCATACTTCTAGAGACTGTACAAGCGACCTCTCTTATTCCACAACACCTAATTAAAATCTCTAGGCTCGCTCACACAGCGTTGGAATCTCCCATCATCATTTCTGTCTCTACTATCCTAGAAACAGGGGGGGAGGGTGGGGAAGTTTGGTTTTAATAAATGGAGTAACATGTCATACAAAAGCGTCTGTGCTTCTATTTACGCTTTTTTCTCTTATTTCTTCCGTCCGATCGAGGAGGCACGGGAATTAGATACTCCTGGGGTTCGCATCGTATTACCGGATCTACGGGATAAATGGAGAGTGGGGGTTTAACGTGTGGAGGTTAGCCCCTGCGAAAAAGAGGATAGTATGGGGAGAAGGTTGGGGTTAGCTGGGTGGGGAAGGGAAAGCTTCAATGGGATAAGCAGAATTGGCGGACAGAGAGGGTAAGGTTTAAGTTCGTTGGCTCCGGCGAAACTGCGCGGTTCTATTTGTTAGAGCTCTAACTAGGTTGTTATACATTTATTTTTATTTATAAAAAAAATACACTGTATGCCAGTATTGTTTGAAAACCAATGAGTTTATGGAGGGGGATCAAGATTCGGTGAGCACCAAATTATGATGCGGATGAGAAATAGGCTATGATTTGAAGTTTTTGAGAGAGGAATGAACAGGACGAGTATGACCCCCTTTCGCTGAAGATGGTGTTAGGGGGTGCCTGAAGTGGAAGTATTAGCGGAGGTTAGTTAGGGATTGGTATGGGTATCCGCCTAGTGGGCTTTAAGTGATTGAGAATATGTTGCAAGTGGTCTTGATAAGTTGCTTATCCTGTGATGCTTAGAGATCTGTACATGTACGTATGACGAGTCGTTCCAGCAGGAAAGTAATCGGTAGTCAATTACAAGACTAAGAATATATTCAGAGGTACCAGTCGATCACTCGAGGCATATGAAGAGTCCTGCAAAGGGTAGACACATAACATGGCACGCTGTGTGAGACTTCAAACAGGCAAACACAATGCACACATACATTGAGCCTCTGAAAACATGGATATCATGATCATCTATTCAAACGTAACATAGCAACCAGACGACATGCTACATTACACCGAATTTTCCATCACATCATCACATCAGGAATGAATGCCAATAGCGACATCGAATCCTAATACTATGCGCAAGAGTTTAAAAGGTACCAACGACCTTCTTCACAGTCCTCCGCATACCCTCGCCCGCGATCTGCACGGCGCCCTCCAATTCTGCGCTTCGCAACACCTCTAAGAACTCTTGGTTTTCTACCTGTTCGCTCGCGCCCTCTCGGACGCTCTTCATCAGATCGCTCAATCGCACGCTCTGGCCAGCAGAACCAAGCTCATCGAGTGAAGCCAAGACTGCACGCTTGAGGTCCTCCTTTCGGCGACGATCGCTGGTCGAAGTGCCTTCTGTAAGGAGCGACATATCAATCAATCCCGTGCGTGCATCAGTAGCTGCCTGCTTGAGTGCCGACTTGATGAGGCGGACGGCTTCGTGAACATCATCTGCTGTGACCTCTTCAGAAAGACGCATCTTGGCATGAGCTTCCGAAAGTCGAATCATTGACTCCAGCTGACGTGTGGTCGCTGTAATTCTTCGTTCTTGCGAGCGGACATCAGCACCCAGTCCACGCATGGCGACATACGCATCTACAAGCGCTTTCGATGCAGGCTCGGTAATCTTGGGGTGAATGTTGGAGCGGGCATAAGAGATATAGGCAGTCAAGAACTCAATGGGCAAAACCTCATTCTTCGCAGCATTCTCGGGAGCGTCTTCAAGGTACATGCCAACCAAGTGACGGGCCATGCGACGATCGTTCTGCTCATCGATACGGTCCAAGACAAGATAAACGAGATCAAAACGTGAGAGTAGGGTGGGTGGGAGATCGATGTTTTGTGGGACCGGGAGGTTGACGTTGTACTTGGAGCCGATAGGATTGGCAGATGCCAGGATAGAAGTACGTGCGTTGAGGGTGGTGATGATGCCGGCTTTGGCGATAGAAACAGTCTGTTGCTCCATGACTTCGTGGAGGACGGATCGGGTAGCTTCTGACATCTTGTCGAACTCGTCAATACAGCAAACACCACCGTCTGACAGTACTAGCGCTCCTGATTCGAGGACAAGCTGTCGAGTCTCAGGGTCGCGAGTAACGTATGCAGTCAAACCAACAGCTGAGGATCCCTTTCCGGATGTGTACACGCCACGCGGTGCGATTCTGTGGACATATTGCAGAATCTGGGACTTGGCAGTGGATGGATCACCACAGAGCAGGACATTGATGTCGCCACGGTACTTTGGACTACCACCTTTCTCGAATTGCTTGTTGGTGCCGCCAAAGAGTTGGAGTAAGATGCCCTTCTTAACGTCCTCCATCTCGTAGATGCTAGGGGCGAGTGACCTAGAAAGTAGCTCGTATACGTCAGGACGAGCACCAGTGGCTTTGATCTTCTCTTCCTCCTCTTCAGTAACCTTGCGGGTTTCTTCTAAATCACCAGCCGCATGCTCTGCGAGCTCTTCTTCAATTGTTGATACATCAATACCCAAGCGCTTCTTGTCGACTTTTTGGATATGCAGCGCATCGACGTAGGTCTTGAAGATGTTTTTGACTGATCGCTGTCGTGGGTTGATGCGGACCTGGTTACATTTAAAGATACCAGTAATCTCTACGCGGTCACCAGCTTTGCATACATCAACCAGTTCATCGTATGCGCAAAGGGATACTGAGTGCGGTGTTTGACCATCTGGCATATCATCCGGAGTCTCTTGTAGCTTGATGACCTGCTTGTTGGCAAACCCGGAGCGGTTGTGCACAATCTGCATCGAGTTGGGCGACTCGCACACCGCACGCGGGCATTTAGTGGGTTCGGTGATCTTACCACGGTCAATGTCTACCCTGACCGTATGGTTACACACAGAGCAGCGGAAAAAGGCTAATGATGTTAGCAACTACCGACAAATTCTCATCCTTCAACTTACCATCCTTCATATCAGGAATGATCGGAGTAGTCCTAATGACCAGGCCCTTGACACTGACAAGTTTGTCCATATCACCAGGGTTCAGCTCGCGCAGATTGATGGTCTTGTCCAGACCAAATGGCCTTACATTGTAAGTCTTTTGATCGACTTCGCTGACCAGATTAGGAATTTCTGGGAATGGAGCAGGAGACGGAGCACCAGGAGTAGGTGCATCGGAACTTGGCATTGGAGGTAGAGAACTGGAATCACGACCTCTGGGCTGAGCACCGCGTTGCTGTTGCGAGACTTGAGTCCGCATCTCCGCCATTCGTTTCTCAGCAAGTTCGAGCATAGTGTCTTTAATGGCGACATCCATGATGGGGATAATTTCGTTGGGATACGCCTGCAACTGGTGCCAAAGCTTCCTCGTGGGCGGGTAGGCCTTGAGGTTGCGAGCATCCAAGTTCAATGGCGTAACACCAAGCTCAAGCATCATCTTCATGAGATCGACGTATTCGCGAGCCATGCCTGGGTGGTTCGGAGGAAGATTCATGCCTTCTTCAAGCTCTCCATCCTGAATCATGCGATACTTCTTTTGAAAGTTCATGAGAAAGTCTCTCATTGCATGACGGGCATCCACCAGAGACACATTGGTTCCCCAAATGACTCGTGAAGAGTTCCCACCCAACACGTCGGCATCAGAAGTATCTGGGTTGATATTGGAAAAGGTTGCTGCATCTGAGGCATCTTGCACAGGCATGCCATTTTCGTCGACGAATAGTCTGCGGCGACGATTGGTGGAGCTGGTGCCAAAGACATCAGAGTGGATATCATTGCGTCGACTACGTGCTGCAGACTCTGAGCCACGGACGAATAGGGCGCTACTGCTGCTACCCGGAATATTGCTCTGAGCATTGCGGGCTCGACCGGGGCTAGAGCTGGAGGCGTAGTGAATAGGCGACGAGTCTGTACATGTTAGTCATGTCACTGATGAATTGCCTGTTCTCCATACCTCCAATATTCATGGCCGACGCCTTTGGTGTTGCACCACCATCGCTCTCCTCAGCCCCATTTGCAGGAGCAGGCGAGGATTGGAAGAAGAGAGGCGATTGGGTCGAAGTCGTCTGAAACCGTGCATTTCTTGGAGTTGCTTGAGGTCCACGCTGTGAAGCCTGTGTCGCCTCGGATTGGAGTTGCTCGTCCGGACCTACTGGTGCTGGACTCGATTGCATCTGAGAATTTTGGCCACGAGCGCTTCTCCTTGGGGTTGCCGAGGCCGACGTGCGCTGAGAGCGACGCTGGGGTGGGGAAGACATTGTTGGGGCGCTCTATGCGGCAGCCAGGGTGAATGTATTGATGTTGTACTTAGAGGGGTTGCCAGGGAGGTGGAGTTTATCGCGCCCACTCCTCCTGTGGACGCGTGGGACGCGTTCTGGTCTAGTCTATAAAGGGACGGTTAAGTGGTCTTGGCATTACAGATGTCGACCCAGCTGCACGCATATGAGAGATCTCATACAGGCGAGTGGGTTTATCAAGGGATGTAATATCCGATTCTTTGTACTGCTGCCAGGGAACTGCCGTCTTAGTGTTGGAACATGTCGAGACCAGTCTGTAGACAAGGTCAGTGGGGCAGTTTAGCCCCGCGGCCAAACGAACATTTCCAAGCAGGCAACAACGAAAGCCAGTAAACATACAAAAGCCGAGTTCCTTGTGAAATCGACATCAATCCCCTCTGTTTCTATACACAATCCCCAAGTATCCGTCATGGCCCCTCCATCCAAGCTCGCTATAGCAACTGGCGTTGTGCTCCGCTTAGTGAAGGAAGAAGCAAGCTACCACAAAGAGATTGAGCAGCAAGAAGCACGCGTCAAGAAGGCCGAAGCCAGTCAAGACGAAGACAATGGCGAATACACACTCAAGCAAGAGGTATACTATATCCCTGTGCCCCAGGGTTGCACCAAAACAGGATGATCAGGCACTAACTTCACAACAGCGTCAAGCACTGCAGGAGACCAAGAACGTGTTGCCAGGCATGAAAATCAAGATCGAGCAAGCGCTCGACAAGCTTGAAGACGAACTTGTAAGCTCAAAACCCCATCAAATAGACAAGAAAGACGGTATTAACCAGACCTAGGAGAACAGCAGCGAGGCTTCCGAGGAGGAAGTCACAAAGGCAAAGGATGCCGTTGCAAAGGGAAAAGCTGCTATGAGCGAGGCTTCGTAAACCAGGATTGCCATGCTGCGACTAAATGTTACAAGCCCGCTACGAAAGATGAAGATACATTGATACCCTAACACCACGCTATGCAAGCAAATCATGAGAAAAGACACTGTTCCACACGTGATTACGACTCGTCCATACTCATTGATGGTCCATCGTCGCCATCATGCTCGCCATCTTCCAGGTCTTCGCCCTCTTCTAATCCATCAGAGTCATCTGCATTGGCATGGCCTGAGTTAGCACCCAAATCTGCCATTTCGGTGTCCTCTGCAGCACCAGACCTGGCCGAAGGTGCAACACTGACGTCTCGAGACAGAGGCTTCAGCCGATCGTGGGGCGGTGCCCGTAGCGACGACCCTTCTCCGCCCTGGCTGGCATGTACGGGCGTCATGCCACCGTCCGGCCGTGGCGTACCAGCATGACTGACATCTCCTCTGGACATGCTGCCTTCTCCCTCGCCATCCTCGTCCCCATCCTTCATCATGCCCTCCTTGCGCTCAGCCTCTTCCTTCTCATCCTTGATCATGCGCAGCATCTCCCGAGCCTCCTCTTCTATGCGGCCAAACTGTGTGCGGCGCTCACTCCAGGTATCCTTGGCTGACTGTACTTCGTGCTCAAGCTCCCTTATCTCTTGATCCAGCTTAATGTGTGCATGTGCTTGCTCGTCGCGTGGCTTGAGCATCTTGCTGCTTGTGATCTTTTCGGTCAACTCATCGTACGTCTTACGCACGGCGAGTGTTTCCTTGGCTTCGACAAGTCGGACGCGAAGATCTTCAATGGTCTTGCGGACATGGTCCTGCTTTGCCTCGATAGCCGTCTTTTCCACAGCGTATCGCTCGCGCTCCGTGTGATTGCTGTTTGTCGTAAACTCAGCGCGTAGAATTGCATAGTCCAGCAGCGAAAGCTCGTTCATAATATCCTTGCGCCATATCTCAATGTTGTGTGCCTGCTGTTCGCGTTCGACTTTCAGCGCGGCTGCTTCCTCCTCAGCAGCTGTGGCGTCTGGTGGCGGCGAGAGAAGCTGTTTTGGGCGTGCATCTTCAAAGAATCCCGGCTTGAGCAGGCGACCTGCGGCGTTTGTGTATGGACGAGCCTCGACTGCTAGAAGACGCGATACATTGTGGAGCGCATCTGCTCAGGTTAGCGGGAGACTTAAAGCAGGCAATAGCTGGTTCTACCTTCATCTGCTTGGGACAACAGGCCCCATTCCTTGGTCGCCATTGCTTCGGTGTAGAGGCGCGGATATGCGACAGCTGTTGGGGTCACTGGTGGCGGGCTGCTTTGGCATTCAAAGTCGCGATGCCGCAGTTTGATGGTCCATCGCGGCGTCTGGCAGGGATCTGAACTAGCGCCAGGGCCCATCCGACGTCAGATATACACCTTCGACGCTTTCTCCTTCATTACACTCAGCTCTCTATTCTGATCATTCGCTTTGTCGCTTTGTCATTAACGCTGTTCAAGAACACTATTTTCTTTGAAGCCTAGGCTGGCGAGATGCAACCGTGAATGTTGTGGGGTTCTCGACCCCATCCAATGCCCACGCTACCTACGTACCACTCGTCCATGGTTAACATAACTACAAGTGGAAACCACCCTTTCAGCAATCCTTAAAGCCCAACCGACGAGTCGCATAGTACTCCAACTTCGATACTGAACCCCGCCACATACCACATTCCAACACCTTTGCATATACGTTTCGCGACGCCCCCATTGCCTACACCATGCCGGCTCTTACCCTCTTCGAGCTGGCCCGTCAGCGGCTTATCAAGAACATCGACATGCTCCGCGACGTTGGCGATTTGCCCTACTCCTTCCTCCAGCCTGTTCTCCGATTCGTACAAAGCCCCGACCAGCTTATCGAGCTCGAGTCCAACTGCCCTCAGCTACTCGGAGAGACGGGTGAAGTCTGGCTCCGCTTCATAAAACGAGACATACCAGACTGGCAGAAGAAGCCACACGAACCGCGCGACCCTCAGAACTGGAGTAAAGTCTACCGTAAGCTGAAGAAGGACGCCGAGCGCGAGAAACAGGCCGATGAAGAGGCGCTGAAGCAGCAGATGAAGGCGATACAGAAGGATCGCGCACAAAACAAGACCCTTATTGTGGATAGCAGGATTGGGTATGGTTCTGGAGGCAGCAGGATGTTTACGGGCCGAACTACGACAAGTTGGGGTCAGCCTTCTGGTGCGCCTGCGAAGACAGGCAAAGCCGCTTTCGATAAGCTGAAACGAGGCATGTTCGACCACGGACGTGAGCGGCCAAAAGCCAGTCAGATACCTGCGCATCTTCTAGCCCAAAGGAAGAGGCCCATTCAGCAAGCTCCAGCGCGTATGGTCCGAATGGCTGAGAGCGAGGCTCCTCGGAGCATGGTCTTGTCCAGGCAGGCCTCTACATCCATGGCGAACAGACCGGAGCCATCAAGACCTACGCCCTCTACAAGCCGCCCCAATATCACACAGCGACCAGCGCCCCAGCAGCGCAACCCGCCACCGCCGTCACGAACCTCGCTACCCGCAGGGCAGCAGTTTAGCGCGCCGAAACCAAAGCCAGCAAGTGGAGGCGTAGCTCCCACACCCAAGAGAAAGCGGGAGGAATACAGCATGTTTCACACAAAGAAGAAGAAGGTATGAAAGTAGGATGAATTACGATCCTCTTTTATGGAGTGTCGGGAGATCGTTGATTTGCCAAAGATACTGATAGATCGACCATGAACTGCTTGGGAATACGATATATAACTTTTATCTGCATAACAAACAGGGCGCTTTGGTGTTGGACAATATTTTATAGGATACATGGGTTGAAGTGGAATGCTCACCCAAGATCTGCATTGCGAGGCGTTATTTATGTTAGCAGTTGTCTGCTTTTTGCGTTTGTCAGCGGGTCTATTTGTTGAATTGCTTCCAGTGTGCACATCTGTTATTGTTTTGGTGCACTTTGAGGTTTCGTTTGTTGAGAAGCAGTTGATTTCAGAGTGTCGGGGGTTTTTTTAGGTACACGCTTCGTTAGCATGATAGAACTGTTTTATAGCAAAGCAGAGTTACAGTGAGCAGTTGTTCTGAAGTATTCGGTTTCTTTAGACTTCTTGGTTTTCGCTCAGTGACTTCTGCATGCCTCGTAGTCAGACGCGTATTCGGTTCTGTTCCGAGCACATGCTTTGTTTGCTGATCTCGAGAGTAAAACATGAACGTTTAAAAGCCCAAAGAATCAATCAGATCTTACGTTGGAAATTTTACCCTAGTATTGTCTGATCAATGCTTATTACCGTGTTAGTATTCCGATTGCTCAATCTACCAGGCCAGTGACGGACTGATACGTCGCAACTTTATAAAGCTATGCGTGACGCTTGGCATCCATGTAGTCGCTGTGTTACCGGTTCGTTACAAGATGCATTTATCACATGACAACCAGGCACATACTCGGCTATCCTCCGCTTGTACATCGCGGCCGGGAGGCAAACGAGGAATTCGTAAGATCATCCGCAATCAACATTGTATATCAAACCCCAGGCTTGATATACAAACCAACGATATCAACTACTCCTCCACCTTCTCTTTCGCCGGCCTCAACATAAGCTGTCACCAATATTAGCACAGTCTTACAAATCAAAGAGAATGACCATCCCCAAAACTTACAATAAGATCAATCGTCGTCGTCCCACCCCACTTCCTCAAATCAAACACCACCTCCTTCACCCTCTGAAACCCAAACCTCGCATACAACGGAGCGCCCGTAGGACTCGCCTCAAGAAACGCCTCCACACCTACCTCATCCGCCCTCTCACACCCCCATCTCACCAACATACTCCCTGCACCCCTCCTCTCATGCTGTGGTAACGTGACCAGCGTATCAAGCACATAATACGGCCTAGTACCCAGAACCTCCCTCTTATTCGCATTTATCTCGCTAAAAACCTCTTTCCACATTTCCGGGTCGCTCTCCTCAAACGGCTCAGGCAATGTGAGTCCGGCATCGACTTCCTCCCAGGTACGCTGAGCAGCGCCGTCTTGCTGCGGTTTAACGTAACGCCAGCGGGCGCCGGCGACCATTTCGCCGGTGGTGGTGTCGACGCATTTCAAGAAGAGGACTCCGTCAGCGATGCCGGTGCGGATGGAGTCTGTGACTTTGTCGAGGGTGGTTTGTGAGGGCTCGCCGCGCGGGTAGAGGATGTGGTTGACGGTGCTGCGGAAGACTTCGTGGCGGATGCGCATGTATTGTTCTGCTTCTGAGGGGTCGAGGAGGGAGATTTGGAGGTTGGGGTCGGGCATTTTGGGGCGAGTGGGAGAGTATACGGTGTGGGAGTATAGGGAGTTGGTTGGAGTCACGGTTATGGGATGGTGAAGGTTGGGAGAAGAAGTGTCGATTAAGGATGGCTGTTTACTTATTTGTCTGACTAGTTTATCATTCATGATGACTCATTTTATCCCCTGTTCAGTACATGTATCACCTGGGTTGCCTTATAGAGTCGAAGGATTGCGCCCTTTTGCTCCACAGTCTTGCTCTCGCGGGGCACACGTTCTCGGAGTTGAAGTGTCTTCAAGTATGGGGTGGAACCCGCACATTTGTAAGCTAGTTTTTAGAACTAATTAATTACTCAATAGATTGAACAGACATGTGCAATATCAGACCACCATCTACCTACCTCTTTGGTGGTAAGGCTGGACCAGCGGGTGGCTGACATGGGAGTGGGTGGTGATCGCGTTGTTCGCTAATCCCGGTCGCGTCTGGCTAATCCCTGCAACAATTTTCTCGACGTTAGTTTTGCGACCATCCGGCCTGCACCTCTTCGCATCTACGATCCAACGGCAATGGCACCCGCTACGACGATTCCGCACAAGTCGGGGGGACACCAGCGATACAAAGCTGCGAAATCGGACGGCGCGACAAAACACCAAGCAGACCTTGCTGCTGGCGACAGCGATGCAGAGGCAGGCGCATTACAGCCGGTGAAGGAACCGCAAGAAGAGGATGAGTTTGAGGACTTTGGCACAGAAGGAGAGGATAAAAACAATGGAGCTCAGAGTGATGAGAGCGACGAGGAGAGCATAGATATAGAGCTGGAGCAAAAGCAAAAGGAAAAGCCGGTATTGCCAAAGGATGCTGAAGAAGAGGAGCTTGAGCGTATGATATTTGGCGACTCAGAGGGCTTTCGGCAAGGATTAGAAAACTTCTCGCTCGACCGTACGACCGGCACATATGGCGACAATTCGGAGGAATCGGGAGCAGAAGAGGCATCTCTTGATGGTGTAGCAGACCAGGACTTGTTCTTCTTTGACGCAGGTCCTGTTGCTGCACCAGCAGGTTCTGTGGCACCCAAGGGTACAGAGGAATCGGACGACGAAGATGAAAAGCCCGCGTGGGAAGATAGTGACGACGAACGGCTGGTGGTCAGTCTGGCGTCGGTACCTCAGCTGAGAAAATTGCGGGAGACGGCAGACGATGACGTAGTCAACGGCAAAGAATACTCGCGGAGGTTGCGCAAGCAGTATGAGAGGCTCTACCCTACACCCAACTGGGCGGCATATGCGACAGGCAAGGCCAACAAGAAGCGGAGACGCACAATGGAGGAGGATGAGAGTGGAGACGAGTCGGCAAGCGACATGGACGTTGATGATGAGGACCTATCTACAGCGCCGCTTGCAAAGCTATTAAAGGATGCCGATATTCTTTCACGGGTCTCGAGGGGTAGCGCAAAGCGAAGAAAGCTTCAAGCAGGCACCATTGACATTCAACGTTTGAAAGATGTGTCCAAAGCCGGGCCGGTAAGCAGAACGAGCTCAGTACATGATTTGATAATAGCTAACAGTTTCTACAGTCTGCCATTACCTCTTTGTCATTCCACCCTACTTACCCGCTACTGCTTTCATCCGGACCCAGCTCAACACTGTACCTTCACCACGTCAATCCAAACCCGCCGAACCCAAATCCTCTACTGACCTCACTACACATCAAGCGCACGCCTCTTGTTACTACAGCATTCCATCCATCTGCATCAGACTCGCGTATTTTCCTAAGCGCACGCCGTCGCTACTTCCATGTATGGAACATTGCAACCGGGAGGGTGGAAAAGGTGTCGCGTGTCTACGGTCACCAGCACGAGCAACGAACCATGGAGTTTTTCGCTTTGTCGCCGAATGGCAAATACATGGCTCTCCGGGGTTCGTCTAGAAAGGGCGGCGGTGTCATCAACATTCTGGATGCCCGAACACTCCAATGGGCAACACAAGTCCGGATCGAATCAAGAGGCGGCATTGCAGACTTTGCGTGGTGGGGTGATGGCACGGGTATGTGCATTGCAGGCAAGAACGGAGAGGTTACCGAGTGGAGCGTCGAAGACGGTGTCGTGGGACGCTGGAACGACGAGGGCGCCGTCGGCACGACGGTCATTGCGCTCGGTGGCAAGAGCGGGCGCGAGAACTGGCTTGGAGGCGATCGATGGGTAGCCATCGGCAGCTCCAGCGGCGTAGTAAACATATACGATCGTCGCGCATGGAGCGAAAACGATCCTTCCCTCAGCACCCCAAAAGCTGATTCAAACAGCGGTATCCCCCACGCACCGAAACCGCTGCGAGATCTCCAGAATCTCACAACGCCGATTTCGCATCTGGCGTTTACACCGGATGGACAGGTGCTCGCTATGGCGAGTCGCTGGAAGAATAATGCGATGAGGTTGGTGCATTTGCCTTCTGCTACTGTGTTTAAGAATTGGCCGAGTCAGAAAACGCCGCTGGGACGGATTACTGCGGTGGCGTGGGGACGGCCGAGTGAAGAGGAGGAGAAGGAAGGGAGCCTGGCGCAGTTGGCGGTTGCCAATGAGGCGGGACATATTAGGATGTGGGAAATACGGGCTTGATTTTCTTGGAATGCGCGACGAATACAATGGTGTGCCTTCCAGAGAAGATGTTATTGTGGTTCCTCTGTTTGCATTGGATGTTTTTCTATGCGTCCCTTTGACCAGTGTCAAGCGTAGGTTCGTCTTGACTGCAACTACCCGAAGCGAAGCGGTCAAGAGCAACCAACGTACATGTCGGTTTTTTTCTGTTTGAGCAAGAGTCTCGCACAGACAGTATCTGTGCTTACTGTGTTTGCCAGCATAGACATGGAAAGCACGCTTGTTGTTGCTGTTTGGTTACAAGCTAGCAGTTGTCTCAGACGCAGTCTTATACGACAACATCGACCACAATAATAGCAACGGTCTTGAATAATATTCACTGTAGACAACAATTCTTTACCTCGAAATCAGCATACCGGTATCATTTTCGAAATATACTACATACTAGCGCGGGTATGACTTGACTTTTTTATTATCATCTCTGTTTGCTATATAGCGTATCAGATCAATTATCTTGGAAAAGAATAGCAGGCCACACCCCAACCTGCCGGAATCGGGTATTAAAAGAAATTGACTTTGTAGTCAAAGTATATAGTAAAAGGGTTGAGGTGAGCGTCAGCGAGACCCTGTTTTGAACCCTGAAAAATAGTTTGGTAATACTACTAAAAACCTCTCAACGAGTATATGCCTATTAGGCACACCTCCATTGGATACGACAACCCAAATCACGGTTGCGACGAAGGCAGTAGAACAACGAACTATGGTTGCAATAAGGACACGCAGTGCCCATAAATTTGCCATATCGTCCGTCCATCTCTCTCATCTCATCACCGCCGCCTAGTGCGGGTATATTCTTTTTTTTTCGAGTCGAACCATGGGCAAGAACAAGAATCGGAACAGGAACAAGAATAGAGACAAGCGGGCAAAAGATGCTGGAGGTGACGATGGCAGGACGAGTCAGACGCCGGCGACGAATTCGAATCGAGACAATACATATCAAACGTCTTCGAATGTTGATAAGACGTGTGGGGGCGAAACGAAGACACTGGTAGATGAGCAAAAACATACCAAGGAGCCGGAAGAAACGGGGGCCAGCGATGTACAAGTTGCGGTTGATCCAGAGGCTCCGACAGGCACGCCAAAGGCCAAACGCGACTCGGTCATCTCGAACACTTCAGAGGGTCCTGCAGATAAAATCAAAGTCGCAGCGCAAGTAGCTCCGAGGGCAGGCTGGAATGTTCGAGTCCGTCGATGGCTCTGGCTCTGGTGGAGCTGGCCATGTCGCTTGTTACGATGGACATATCGTTTTCTGATTGCCTTGGTGCGAATCTACTGGAACGACCAGCGAAGAGTGGAAGATGTGCTGCTGACGGTGGGACTTGGTGGCTCGGTCGTCTTTGGCGTCTATCTCGTTGTTGATTTCCTGGTCAAGCATTCAGAGGAGCTAATGGCAGTCTTCCCTGCGGAGTGGTTCCTGGTACGGCATGGCTAGTTGAGAAGCCATTTGGATCAAGCAATCGATTGTTTGAAGGATATCTGGGGTAGCCTGTTTTGTCTACTGGACTGGAAGGCATTCATAGGTACACGGGTCAAGGTGTCGGTGTTACAATTTCAGTGCCAGAATCTGTTGCGAGGTCATAAACCTTGGCTGGTTGGTTGGTCAGCATACCCCAACCCAAAGGACGGCATTTGAGTGCACTATGGTCGGCAGACAGGCAGGTAGTGGTGCTGTGGTGTCGGATATCGCCTAACGCGGGTTGTGTCGAGTGATGGGATGCTTTGATGTTCGAGTCGGGTCTAGCGCCGAGTGCACGTGATGGCTAGTGCAGGAAGTTTAGGCGGTACTGCCGCTGTCACGACATGTCAATCCAGCAGGCAGAGGGCGAGGGCGAGGGCGAAGGCGGAGAGGATAGTGGCAGGGTGTATCTTTTGGCTAGTCAGTGGACGAGAGTAACGCGTGGGTGCAGACGTGCGTCTATCTATCTGACTATGCATGTAGGTGGTAGTTATCTCTGCACATTTGATAGTTGCAAGAAGGATAGTGACGTCAGATGAGCACATGACCGGGTGTAGCATGGAGCCTTTCAGCCGGGAGGTGCCATGTGAGTGTCGAGGCACGCGTCGGGGCCCTGTCGAGCTTGTGTACATGTGTATGCATCACGCGGCGACGGCCGAGGCAACAGCTAGTATATTATAGTGTGTAGTGTATATCCAAGTAAATGCCTCCGTAGAATCAAACTGTGTATGTATGCAGCCCCGGCAATTGGCCTCTTTGCTTCCTTTTTCCCACTCGCACTGCCACGGCCGCATTCCATTCGTCTCGCCCCCCCCCCACACTCGTACTCGTACTCGCAGTCGTTTGCACATCCCATGCTCCAACGCTCGCTGCCCGCCCCAAGCGACCAGCCTAGTCCACGCCCGGCCTAGCCACCGCCGCTCGAGACGTGCCCCATCCAAGCCTGCACCCAGAGTCTGCCCTCGGGTGCGCTGGTGCAAGGGAGAAATCTCTCACCCTCTGTTGGCTCCAGGTGGACCGCCGACTCCGGACCGAGACGCGCAGCAGCAGCCTCTGTCTCTGCCACCGCCAGCGCCAGCGCCATGGCGACATTTGCGCCCTCGAATTTTGCTCTGGACGCCGGCGACGACAAACCCCACCACGAGCCCCCACCACCGCCTCTCCCACACGGACCCTTTGCCCACCAGCTTAACCCACCACCGACACAGCCCTACTCGTCTGCCACGCCCAAACTCTCCCCACGACCCTCGCGCGACCTCCGCCACCACCTCTCCTCTGGCGCAATGGCTGGCCCAAACACTCACGCGCCCATGGCTGTCCCAGGCGGACGCATCAACCAACCCGCTCACGACCACCGCCCAAACCTGCGCGACATGGGCTTCGCCGGCCCCCGCAGCCCCCCAAACAACAAGAGTATGTACTCACTCACCTACACCTCTCTCTCTCTCTCTCTCTCTCTCTCCACCTGCCTCTAGCTCCCTCCCCCCTTTACTAATCTTCCCCAGACACCTCACATGTTCCTTGCAAGTTCTACCGCCAGGGCGCATGCCAGGCAGGCAAGGCCTGTCCCTTTCTGCACTCGGACGAGCCGCTGACGGAGCGCGCGCCTTGCAAGTACTTCACAAAGGGCAACTGCAAGTTTGGCCAAAAGTGCGCCCTGGCTCACATCCTGCCAAACGGCCATGTCGTCAACCGCGGAAACGCTGCCAGTCACTTTGGCCGCATGAACGTCCCCCATCACCAGGAGCTGCCTATCAACAGCTCTCTGCTGACCATGCAGGCACACATGGGCGGCATGCAGCCAGCCTACCCCTACGCCCTCCAGGACGACTACGTCAACCACAAGAACCAGTACGACATGATTCCCACCATCGACACCACCTTTTCCTCCCACCCCGGCTCAAACTACGGCTCGCCGCCAAACGACAACGGCCGCCTCCCCATCTCGCCCACAAACAAGGGTCTTAGTGTCATGGACGTCGGCTTGCCTGCCTCTTTTGACAGCCAGGGTATCTCTACCATGGCCCGGTATGGCCCCATCGCCTCGTCTGTACCAGCAAAGTTCCTCGCAAACTCGCCCCCGTCTTCGTATCAGGCTGATTCGCCTGCGCTCCGCAACCTGCACGACTCTGCGTTTGGTGATGGTTCGCGAAGAGGAATTGGGGCGTTGGGCTCTTCTCCACCAGAGTCGGTAGAGCAGCCCACTGGAAGAAGAATGCTGCATTCTGAGCTCGCTGCGAATCGCTCTCGTGGTATCATGTCATCTAGTCTGGGCGCGCGACCTGCTTTCAAGGACGAAGAATGGGATGAGACGGACATGATTGGGAAGTTCGAGGAGGATCTGCTACCAAACTCGCTCAGCGACCTGCTCACCCCACAGGAAAAGATGCGCCGCTTCTCACGCGACCAGGGTGAAAACGAGAGTTCCTTCTCCCAACGTGCTGCACAGTCTAGGCTTGGTGTGTCGCCAACCGCATCCGACCTCAAGTATGGATCTCCCTCGGCAGCGACTGCTTCTCCTTCCCGGTTCCAGTCCATGTGGGCCAAGCCTCGCGGGCCAACATATGACAATGCATTTGAGTCAGGCTCATTGCCCGGACAGTCGGCCTTTGGACACGTTGGCTCACCGCTACGTAACTCGAGCCTCCACCCTGGAGCGAGTCCTTCACTACGCGCCATCAGCCGCCCTACCACCGGCGACGCGAGTCCCTACCTATCTTCGCCTCCCCGTCAAGCTTCCATGAGCATGATCAGCCAGCAATTACAGAGAACCCGTCTGTCCACTCGAGAGGAGGCAAGCATAACAAGTAATCCGGTCCATCCTGGCATCAACCGTGTTACCTCAGCCACCAGCATGGGAAACTCGAGTGGACGTCTTGGCATGGATCGTGCGGTTAGCAGCAGCAGTATCAATCGCGAGAGGATTGAGGAAGAGCAAGGTCTATTCAGCATGGAAGAGGAGGAGGACGTCAACAAGAGCAGGGATGGTGCATCCACCACTTCCAGTACAAGCAACAAGCGCTTGAGCGGACTATCATGGGGTAGCGGAGGTGGCAAGGGCAGCCCCAACCTCGCACCTGTTGGTGGACACCGTACTACTGCCACTTCAGGCCTATCAAAGGACACGGGAGTCTGGAATAAGAACGCCTAAGCCTCTTTTCCCGGTTCCAGATGTTACTCTCCCTTCCCCTTCCATACGCGGCTTATCTACGACACACCAGAAAAAGAATATAGCATACCCCTTTCCAAACCGGTAAACAGTTGGAAATATTGAGCGTTTTGGGCGACTTTTTTGTTTGCATTTTTGGGGGGGAACATACGACCTCTTTTGACTTCATGTGTGGTGTTTGTTTGCTTGTTTTTTTACTTCGGCATATACAAAAAAGTCTCGGAGCTTACAGCTATTTCCAAGCGGGGACGGGGTGCAGATCAGGCAAAACATGGTAGCACAGTGGTTGCCAGATTCTCATTTCCCATTCCCTGTTTCCCCTCTTTTCCTCATTATTGCTTTGGCAAGAACTGGGCAATTTTCCAGCAAAGGATCCCCAGTATTTGATTTCGAGTTTTGGGTTTTCAACTTTTAGAGTTGGATGGAGTTACGACTTTTTTTTTCAAACTCAAGGTCACGGATATGTGGTTATATCAATGGCAGTTTGGTGTCTGCTTTTTTCCATCAGATCTCATGGGTCATGACTGATTTGTTTTTTTTCTTGCAATCTGATGTTCTCTGTTCGGTTTACATATGAAGGAAATAACGAAAAAGGGCATGTATTGGAGATTCTAAGCGGGAGTGCATATTGAGGGGTGTAAGGGGCGGGGATGATGAATTCTGATATGAAAGTAGAGGATATGGTGGGAGTAGAAGAGAAGCAAGGGTCAATGATGAAATAGGTTATAAATCCATGTATTCGATAATGCAATCTAGAATGTCGAGGTACTGCAATCAAATCATTCCCGACCTCGCTCATCATACTCTCGCAAAAAAGAAAAGATAATCAACATCAACATCAACAAACTCTAGTGAAAAACACACACACACACACACACACACACACACACACAAATGTCTCTACAACTTCGCCTGAGCCCCAACCCCCAACGCCACATCCCCCTTACTCCTCTCCTTCAACACCCTCCTCAGAATCTTCCCACTCGCACTCTTTGGAATCTCCCGCACAAACACCACTCCCCCCCTCAACCGCTTATGACTAGCAACCTTGCCCTCCATCCACTTGACAATCTGCCTCGCCTCGTCCTCGCCCGCCCTCGCCCGTATCCTCTGCGCAGGTACAACATACGCCCTCGGCACCTCAGTATGCCGCACCTCATCCTCAACCCCAACAACCGCGACATCATCCACGACCTCACTCTCCATCAGCTTTCCCTCGAGCTCCGCGGGCGGCACCTGAAACCCCTTGTACTTGATCAACTCCTTTACCCGATCCGTAATGTAGAAATTACAGTGTTGGTCCTGGAAGCCGATGTCGCCTGTTTTGAAGAAGGCGTCGGGGGTTAGAGCGGCAAGCGTGGCCGAGGGGTTTTTCCAGTAGCCTTTGAAGATGTTGGGGCCGCGGAGGTAGAGTTCACCGGGGATGCCGGGGGCGAGTTCGTCGCCTGAGGCGGATATGTATTTTGCTTGCATGTTTGGGAGGAGTTTTCCTACGCTGCCTATCGATGTGTACCATTCGTTCCAGGGCTTTGTGTTTCGTGGTTAGTGGGTTGCTCTTTTGTTCTGTTTTAGGGGGGTTGGGGTGAGGAGAGAGAGAGAGAGAGAGAAAGAGGGGTTGCAAGTACCTGAGTGTGTGTTACAGGGCTTGTTTCGCTCAGGCCGTATGCTTGGTTGATTTTCAAGCCTAGTCTCTTGTGCACGGCGTCGACGAGGCCTTTTGTAAGGGGTGCAGCACCGCTGGTGATCATTTTTATGGACGAGAGGTCGTATTGGCTTACCAGGCTGTCTCTGGATAAGCGCACAATGACGGGGGGCGCTACGTATATGAATGTGATTTTATGTTCTTGGATTGCTTCCAGGAACATCTTCAGGTCAAAAGCAGGCATCACGACGAGCTCGATGCCTCGGTGCAGTGTTTGATGTACGAGTCCAGTGAGGCCGTAAATGTGGAAGAAGGGAAGGACGCCTAGGAACTTGTCTGCTGCTGATGAGTACCAGTGGCCTACACCCCCTTTTATAAGAAGAAGGTCTGCGATAATATTTCGATGGCTGAGCATCACGCCTTTTGGCAGCCCAGTTGTACCAGAGCTGTAGGCAAGGAACGACAGGTCTTCGGGGTTGGCTTTCCTTCTGCGATACCGTTCTAAGATGTCTGTCTTCCGAACACTGGTCCAGTGCTTGCACTGGTGGGACTCGTCTTTCTCATATCCCAACAAGATGACTCGATCGTTTGGGATGCCAACTTTGTCGGCAGCCTCCAACGCCGTTTTCAAAACCGCTTTTGTGGTAACGAGTGCCTTGGCGCCAGAGTTCTCAAGCTGGTAGGCCAGTTCATCTTTGGAATACCCAGGATTTGCAGGCGTAACAATTCCACCTGCAAAAAAGGTGCCGTATATGACTGGTGGGATATCGATATCATTTGGCGCGTAGAGTGCCAAAACGTCATCTTTCTGCCAATCCCAGAGACTCCGGAGGCCCTCGCCGAATACTGTGGCTTGGGTCTTTACTTGGGCGAATGTGTATTTTCGGTCAGAGTTGATCGCACGGTAAATAACCTTGTCATCTGAGAAGTCGCGGTCTTTCCGCTCAAACATGAGTCCCCATAGGTCGACATCCGGGATCTCGACATCTGGAAACGGCGAATTGGAAGGCATGGTTTGTGTTGGTATTAGACGGGGGATCAAACGCCCGGCAGCTCACGCGTAGCAATATCAGACTGGCAATTCTATGTTTGTTTTTTTATCGGTGTCGTCGTGTAACGACATAGGGTTCAAGGCAGAAGGGGATTAGTTGACTTATTGTGGGGAACCTCGGCTTCCAGCACCATGACGTTACCACTTCCGAACCTCGCGCCATTCCACCGTTTTGTCAGCCTCGATTTGTCGAAAAGGCCCCCGGTCTTCTAAACAATGGCCTTACTTTGAGTAATCCGACGGCTCCTCCTAACTGCATTAACAGGATACACAGTGCTACGAATGTCGATGGTCCTTTGTAATGGTTACTCAGCGAATACACTCTATCCCGATTTGAGCAAATTCTAGTCACCATTGAACTCTATGTGCCACATTTGGAGATGTGTCTGTGTGAGTTTGTTGAGTGTCTGGAAAGGCAGACCGTTTTCAGATTTCACTATCTTTATTTTTATTTTTAGGTTTTCGGCGAGTGAGCAAAGGAAAGTTTGATGCTACAATCAATGCATTCTCACCTGTAATGAATTGAAAATAAAAGTAATCAGGAAATTTCAGAAGCTTGGATCTTGCGGTTCTATCTAGGTGTAAGTACGATATAAATGTGCGCAAGCTGCTTGAGTCAGGCCAATGTCTACTGTCCTAGTATGCACACGTGACCAGGCGTCGGATCCCGGAATATGTAGGTACGTGAACCATCGGGAGAGCCGGAAGGCAGCCACAAAATGATATGCGTGGTCAGCCAACGTGTCCACAAAGACCGAGACTCACGGAAGGTGATCGAAATAATGTCCCGGACATACAAGCACGGATATGACGGGGCTTCGTCTTGGTGCACAGCGTAGGCTCGGCACCATGGTCCAATTGATAATGGCGATGTGACGATGAGATGGTTCGGCACTGTGTTCTAGGGCTCGGGCTGCCGCAACTCAATAGCTAGCTGGCTGAGTTGTTATGGCTGAGGGATAACATTGTGTACATAGGCCTACGTACTCGATGCATGAGGTGTGGGTGGAAACTAATGCTAAAAGGAATGCCGCAGACTAAGGACCGTTCCCGCATGCGCACGGTCTACCGTAATGGTGGGGGAAAGGCGCGAGCGAGCAGTCAACCGTCCGACCGAACGACCCACCCTCTATCTCTCCCAGTTCATCCATCAGGGTGCCTCCAGCCCAGCTTCATCTCGGCCGCACTCGCATCTGCCTCCAAGATCTGCCGGAACAATTGCTCGTCGAGTAACGACAGGAGTCGACTCGCTCCGGTGCAAGTGGATGCGGACCGGCAGCGTCTGGCTTTCCCCAAGGCTCGACACAGTTCACGTCGGCAGCCGCTGACCAACCGCACTCTTGGGACTCTGCTCTGCTCTCGGATCCGGCGTGGGCGGCGTGATTGGCTGGCTGGGGCTGTGCCGTGGGGAGGGCTGCATCGTCGAGGACCCATACGGCGTCATCGCTGAGGCGTGGGCGGAAGAAGGGTAATTTCTCTGCAGCGTGATATCTGCACCACTGCCACGACTGGGTCCTACAGGCCGTCTCAGCTGGCAGGGAGCCCGGCCTTAACCAAGTGTCACCGGCAGCTGCTTCTAATACCACACAGGATGGGTAAGTGCCCCCCGACTTTCCCCAGTCTCCCTCCTAACGTTGCCATCCCCATCCGTCATCCGCCCTCCGCGCCAGCGCCATCACGGTTCTGCCTCTCCTCATAACCAGGTCCGCCTGCCTGCTGACTCTTGCCTGCTAGATTCTGCAGGAGACACCTACCGTCCCAGTGACCGAGTGAGTACAGCCACCTCTTCTCTTTTGCCCGTCGCCAATCGTCGCCTGCCGACCATGTGGCCAGGCGGCAAGTGAACCGCACCGCACCGCTTCTGGCCTGTCCTGGTTTGACTGCTAGCCGCCATGCCGTCGAGAGCAGCTGTGACAGACGAGCTGCTGTCCACTTCCTCTTCCCCTTCCCCTTCCTCTTCCCCTTCCCCTTCACTCCTCACTCCTCACTTCACCCCCATCGTGCGTTGTGTCCGCTGGTGTTGGTCAGGGCACGTGATTGGCCGGCAACTGCCGTTGCGCGTTTCGTTCGTCGTTGCCCAAGCTCCGAGCTGCTCACGCACGCTCGCCTGCTCGCGCAACCTCTCCTTCCAACCCCATCAACCCTGCGAGCCTGCACCAGCTCGCATCACCCGCCCGCAACCCGCTCCAACATCTCCGCTTCGACGCATTGATCGACGCACCATCGCAATCATGTCGTACGAAACTGACAATTATGACCAGCGCGACCGCTCCCCTCGTCGCCGTTCTCGCTCCCCGCGACGCTCCAGACGCTCCTACTCACCTCGCAGCCGCTCTCGCAGCCGAGAGGACTACCGTCGCACTGAACGCCGCTCGCGCTCCCCCAACAGCGGTGCTCAAGGTGCGGGAAGCTACCAGTCGTACGGTGCCAGCAGAGGTGGCTCATCGCGACCCACTGAGAACAAGGGCGAGATGATGCAGAACATTAGGGACTCTTCGCAACAAGACCGTCGCGTTTACGTCGGCAATCTCTCGTACGATGTCAAGTGGCATCACCTAAAGGACTTCATGCGCCAAGGTACGGATGGCATGTGTTGCGTCGCGTCAAGAGATGGGCTAATGTGGAAATAGCTGGAGAGGTCCTCTTTGCAGATGTCTTGCTACTACCGAACGGAATGTCAAAGGTAATGGATGATGGCTTGTCTTGATCGTGAGAAGGATGGAGGTTGACTGGCTTTTGCTTGGGTGTAGGGCTGTGGCATCGTGGAATATGCAACTCGGGAGCAGGCGCAGAACGCTGTTGCAACGCTCAGCAACCAGAACCTCATGGGACGCCTCGTATACGTTCGCGAAGACCGAGAGGCCGAGCCTCGATTCAGTGCACCCGGCGGTCGTGGTGACTTTGGCGGCGGAATGGGCCGCGGCGGCGGCTACGGTGGCTTCAGTGGTAATAATGCTGCTGCTGGAGGCCCAACCGGAGCACGACAGGTCTACGTCTCCAACGTTTGTACACCCATTTCATTGTTCCATTGTGTCAACATTGGTGTTCTTTGCTAACCTTTTTGCCCAGCTTCCCTACAATGTTGGCTGGCAGGACCTGAAGGACCTCTTCCGCCAGGCTGCCAATAATGGTCAAGTCCTTCGCGCTGACGTTCACATTGCACCTGATGGTCGCCCAAAGGGTTCCGGTGTGGTTGCATTCGAGACACCCGAAGATGCCCGGAATGCCATCACCCAGTTCAACGGCTATGATTGGCAGGGCCGAAACCTCGAGGTTCGCGAGGACCGCTTCGCCGGCGCTCCTGGTGGATTCGGCGGTCGCGGAGGCTTCGGAGGCCGCGGCGGCTTTGGCGGCGGCTTCCAGGGCCGTGGTGGCTTTGGAGGTCGTGGTGGTTACGGAGGCTTTGGAGGTCGCGGTGGCTTCAATGGCGGATACGGTGGTGGTGGTGGTGCCGGTGCCGGTGGCCCTGGTTTCGACCCCAACGCTGCTCCTCCTGCTCCAAACCCATTCACAGACTTTGCTACTGCAGGCGGAGAACCCAGCAACATCATCTACGTTCGCAACCTACCATGGTCGACTAGCAACGAGGATCTTGTCGAGCTCTTCACCACGATTGGAAAGGTCGAGCGTGCCGAGATTCAATACGAGCCTAATGGTCGCTCTCGCGGAACCGGTGTAGTTGAATTTGAGAAGGCTGCCGACGCAGAGACGTCTATCGGTATGTTCTGCAAACTTGCTGCATGTTAACTTACTAACACATCTATAGCCAAATTCACTGGTTACCAGTACGGCGGCAGGCCTCTCGGTCTTGCCTACGTCAAATACACCAACGTGGGCAACGGCGATGTCATGGAAGGTACCGAACACACTGGCGGTTTGACCCAAGACCAGATTATGTAATCCGTTCTTTCATTCGCCATGCATCTGGGACACCTAGCATCTACATGATGATGCACGCACATTTTTTATTTGCTGTGGTCGCGAGCGCCTTATCGGGAATGACTTTTTTCCTTTATCTCACATTTGCATCTCTCCTCAGAATGGGATCTGGAGAGAGTATCTTGCGAGTCAGTTCTGGTATCGGGGAAGCACTGTAGGAGAACAAAATTTCCTTGTCTACACTAAAAGCTAGCTATTGAGATGTAGCTATAGCATCGAATGGGAATTTCGTAAGGCTTATGCACATGCCTTTGCTTCATTGTTCTGTTTTGGTGTACAAATCTTGACTCAGCTTGAAGTGACACGGATTTGGTCTATTGCAATAACTTCATCATCCACTCGTACGCGGCCCATTGCACGGCATTGACAATGAATGCGCGTACACTGCATATGCCCAAGCCACGGACGAAGACACCTGCGCCCTCTGTCCGGTATGCTTGCCTGGCAATTTCGATTGAGCTCATTCGCTTCTTCTGTGTTTCCGGTTGCAGGAGACCACTTCGCTCTCTGTCTGTTGCTGGTGCATGTAGTACTTGAGTCTGTACTCTTGTCTTGATCATATCCAAGGGAAATATGGACGTCCAGCTAACAACACCGGCCAACCCACCACACATGAGCACCTTCATAGCCGTTTCCTGATCCGAATCATCCGGCGAACTCCAGGCCTGTTTGGACATTTCATACGACCAAAAGCTAAGATTTGGTCAGTCACCCCATGCCCATTACACTTTTCTTTCCTCCCACGTTTCCAAAAGAAACACGTGTTCATGCTGCAAAAAGAAAAAAATGAAGAACTCACTAAAGCCCATACCCTACCGCATCCCTTACACTCGTGATTGCACCCCCATAATACAACCCCCGTACCCCCTCCGCCCTCCACACATCCCGCGCCACACTCCATGACGTCGTAGTCTGGCTCGTAGAAACCTGTGCTCTGCACTTGATTAGCTCTGTGGGTGCGCTGACTACGAAAGATGCGAGGCCGCCTGTTACGCCTGCGAGAAAGACTTTGGAGAGGCTGGAGGGCGAGGTCGGGGTGTCGTTCAGGAGGGACAGGGTACGGTTGTAGGTTACGAATAAGAGGCCATTGAGGGCGCCGTAGGTGAGGATTGGTGCTGTGGCGCCTATACTGGAGTGTTTCTGCTTGTTAGTCGAGTCTCTCTCTCTTTTATTTTTAATTTTTTTGTGGTTCAAGCAAAGAAGGAACTAATGGTCTTAAAGAAAATAGGTTGGAGGCTTTCTCTCTCTCTCTCTCTTTTTTTTGTTCCAGCAACAAGGAATTCGTGACATGGGAGAACAATGGTGGAGCAGTGTTGAGGTTGTTAGTCTCACCTCTAACTAGTGTTCCGGCATTTTCGAATTGCGCTTTGAAACCTTGCAAGGTTTGGAGTTGTGGTTGTACCGCTGCTGCTGCTGTTATTGTCGTCGTCGGTGTAGCTTCTACTACATGTGGTGCTGGTGTGGTTCCTGCCTGCAGACGCGTCTTTATGAGGTCCAGTGGGTTGCCGATGATGATGCCTGCTGCGCCGGAAATGTAGCCGGCCCAGAAGTCTGCGGACATGATTCTTCCTATTTTTGTTTCCTATTGGTGTGTGGGAGGGAGGGGGAGGCGAAAAATATGTAGGAACGGTCAGGGCAGGTCTAGTACTAAAGGGGGGTAATGCAGGGTCTTTGGAGGGTTGGAGGTGTGGGGTGGGGAGGGGCAGGGATTTCGAGGATCTAGGACAGCCGAGGCTCAGATGGATGTGAGATGGGAATACGATGGTGGGTTTTTAGAAATGGAGAATGCATGATTAGTGTGTGGGTCCTGAATTTGCAGTATTGACTATCAAAGCGAGTCTGTGACTATGCTATTGCCAAGGTTAAGATGAGTGATGGTGTGCAAAGTTTTGGTGCGATATTGTCTATCTGAACATAAAATCGTATCGCTTCGCATGTGCATGTATTTGTGAGAATATGAGGAATTGTTTGGGTCATATTCATTTATTTTGCCTGCTGTGGACATCCTTTATCACAAGATGGTTCATGAGATTGTTAAGATTACGTCAGATATTACTTCCGCTTATTGTTTGAGTTTGCGATGCATTTGCACAAGTTATAACACAAGTCATGAAACTTACCTCTCGATGTACTAAGAACTCTTGCTTGAAATTGCCCGGAAGAAAACTATTTTTCGTGCCCATAAAACTGGTACCAAGACGGCCCTATCACGTTGATGCGCACCCTGGCAACCCAGCCTTGTCTGTGAGGTTTGATGCGTCTTTTGTTTCTTGTATAGTGGTTGGGATTGAACTTCCAGTCGGTCACTGTTGATTTAGTTGTCGGTGCTACAACAGCGCCAGCACATGATTACTGGTTAATTTCGGCTGCTCTTTCTAGAAAGGCCAGATGATGATGGGCACGTTAGACCGCTCTCGGGTTTTCCGAACCTACGTAGCTCATAGAGGCATCCCTATGTTTCAGATAATTGCAGTGAATGGCCTAGGTATGGTAACAAACAAAGGTGAGTGAAGCGCCAAAGACGTTCCGATCTCCAGCATGCATGATGTGTGTCATTCTCGGTGGCGTTGGCATATCGACCCAAGCGAATAGACTAGAGCCGGCTAGAGCTCGGGCCATGAGGCTGAGACACCCCCGATGACCTTCACCCCGCCGCCACCCAAACACCAGGCATTTATCTTCACGCTCCTGCAGCTCTCTTATTCTTACTGACACACTTATCTTCCCAGGATTGCCCTTACAGCTACTGTTTGAGCTTGGCAATACCTCTTTCTCTATACGTCGCCACCGTTGATCATGAGCGCGCGATTAGGACCCTTGTTTCGAGACCAATTATACAGTATGTCTGGCCATCTGCTGCGCCTTGTGATCCAGCCTCTACGCGCTGAGTGTGCCTAGTGTAGCAAGGCTGTATCGTTGAAACGCTGCTCTCAGGATGCCGAGCTTACCGCCTGAGATTTCTTGTATTCATCTGACACTCGTCCAGATTCCGCCACACATTAGCATTCACCACTCACCTACGACGAACACCCTGAACTACGATTATTTAATTATCCTGCGAGGAAACTACACTCAATGCCTTCACAATATCTTGATGCCGGTTGGGACTTCAGCCCTGTTATCGATCTCATTGAATCTGCTTCCGAAGATATCTGCTCCCCAGCGCTTCGGCCTACAACGCAGAAGAACTTTACACCAGCCTGCGAAGATGGCGGGGTACGCTTGGGCAGCTTCTCCAAGCTCTTTGAGAGCCTAGGCTTCTCAGACAGTTTGGTAGCACCACTTCCACCCCTCGACCCTGACTCTGAGCTTAGCAACTCAGATGACGCTTTGTTACCGTCTCCAACTTTGAAGCCGGCTCAGGCGCCCGTCGGGTGTGTTGAAAATTCAACTGTTGAGCCAATAAGCAGCCCGGGCTTGACGAAGACGCAGCGCAAGAAGGCTCGCAGACGTGTTGAGAAGGAGTTGTTGGAAGAGCAAACCCGCCAGCGGATCATGCAAGAAACCCTCGATCAACTTGCTGAAGAACGTGAGCAGAGGGAGCATCAAAAACAACGAGGCTCCATTGGCAAGCAATCAGACAAGCTTACCAATAACTCAGTGGAGGATACCGATGTTGCTGAAAAGCCGCAAAAGCCCTCCCGAACGAGTTCACGATCCAATGTTGGTGCGAAAATCCGACCTACGCTTTCTGTACAGGCGTCCGCACCAAAATCCACAGGTGCTCACGACATTCAGCCGAAGCAACCGAAGACACCCAAGTCTCGCCCCAGTATATCTAAGCAATTATACGCAGTACAGCCAATGACACCTCAGCCATTACAAAAAGCACCGGTCATTACTCCCTGTAAAACGCCAGTACCTAATCTAGCTGTACACGAAACGTCGAGCACTCCAGTGCTAGACCAACACCTTGATCCCCCACCACAGCGGCCGTCTCTTGTGGCTACTCCAGTACGCCATGGACTTGTCCCGCGAACTGTTCGGCCAGTTACTCTACCAAGGGCTGCTTCACAACCGGCTGTTGTAGCCCAGGCTCCAACGACACCGACTCCACGGGCCGGCTCATTCAGCGGACGTCGACCACCTCTTGTGATTCGATCGAAAACGGATCGCCATCTTCATCTGTTCAACAAGCTGATGGAGAAGTTTCCGGAAGATCAGAAGTGGCTGGTGGCGCCGATGCAGCTTCTGAACGAGCGGCAAAGCGAGCACGGTTTGCATGTATTCGTCGACGCCTCGAACATTATGATTGGACTCAAGGATATGCTGCGCTCGCATGGGTTTCACCATAACGCGTATGACATATCATTTGATAGCCTTGCGCTGCTGATGGAGCGGCGCCGACCTGTAGCCAAGCGATTTTTCGCTGGCTCACACCGCGAAGCCAACCCACTTCCTCACATTGAGAAGCTGGTGGAGACTTCGAAGGCGGTTGGGTACGACAGCGTGATGCAAGAGCAAGTGCTGATTGTACGGGAAGACTCTGAGAAGAAGAAATTCTTCAACGACGTCAAGAAGATGGGGTGGCACAAGGCCACGCAGATGCGGTCTGGCAGCGGCAGCGACTCTGAAACGAGCGCCCCGGCTCCCAAGACACCTGCGGCCCCGAAATGGGTTGAGCAGGGAGTGGACGAGATTCTTCACCTGAAGATGTGCCAGAGCATTATTGATTCCGAATGGCCGAGCACAATGGTGCTAGCGACGGGGGACGGGGCAGTTGCAGAGATGTCGGACGGGTTCCTAGCTCACGTGGAGCGAGCGTTGAAGCGGGGGTGGAGAGTGGAGTTGATCAGCTGGGGGCAGCAGATCAACAGTGGTTATAGGAAACGCCAGTTCCGAGCCAAGTGGGGGGAGCAGTTTACGATCATTGAGCTGGATGAGTTTTTGGAGGATTTGATTGATACGCGGTAGGGGATAGATGATGTGTTGTAGTGCATGATGTCTTGAGCCTTGTGGTGTTTGACATTGTTTGGCACGATTTGTTTGACATGTTTTGTCTGTTTGAATAAGACGCTAGTTTTGTTTCTGAATGTCTAGGACAGTTGTTGCAAGACAGGTGTTCATTTGTGATGGCCTAAACATCTTATGCATGGTAAAGAAGTCATGAAAGAAATGAGAAATGTTCATGCCACGACATTGCCAAGGCGAGCTCGTGTCGCTATTGCCATCGTGAGCGGTACTCTAGTAGTAGTAGAGTTGCAGTAGTCAATCCCGGCAAGGCCCGCACTTGTTGTCGCGTGGGTTCCTGATCATCGTCACATCACTGCCCCCCCCCTTTTTTACAACCACACGCACCTACCTACCTACCTACCGACACTATGTAACTAGTCTCCACGGAACCTCTCTCATGTCCCTAAGTAGGTATGTATGCATATACCATACTCACATTCCCCCCCCCACAAACCCTGTAGTCCGACCGAAAGCAAGAACAATTTAAACAAGTCACCCCATCACAACGCCGATCATCATCACCAAATCCATCAAATCTCGGCCCCCATTCATTCATTCATTCATTCATTCATTCATACTTACATGCATGATACTCCACTCAAGCCCGAGTGTTGCAAATAATAATCATGTAAGCTCGGGTACGAGGCGAGCGCTCGCCTCGCGCTCGCCTCACGCTCCCTCTACTTCTACCAGGGAAACGAGAGATACGCATAGTACGAAAAGGCAGCAGCGGAAAAGCAGGGGGAGAATGGATTAACCCGACTCCCGCGCTCGCAGGAAGTTTGCACATAGATCGCATGGTGGCTCGTGCGCGCGAATTCGTGCGGGACGATGGGGGCCAAGACGGACGAGGAAGGGGGAGGGATTGGCAGTGCGAACGTGTGATTTGTGACTGGGAAGGTTAGTAGCGAGAAGCAGGGTAAGGGTAAGTAGTCGATGCGATAGGCAGAGTGAGTCTAGAACGGGTATCGTATTTGGTATGGTGTGCATACGGAATACGAGTACGGGCAAGGATTTGGGAGCGGTGGGGGCTTTTTTTTAACTGCGATGGCCGACCTATTAGGCTTCTTTTTTTTGCGGTGCCTGGATTGTGGTGGGTTCGGCCATCCACTCTCGTTCCTGGCGGTTGTGAAACACTAGGTGAAAATGCTGTGGACGGGGGGCTGGGGGGGGATGAGGGAGGCGGATTTTCGGATGCGTGACAGTTCAACGGTGGAACGGTTGAGCGGTGGGGGGAGAGTTAGGGATGGAAGTGGATGCGTTTGCACGTTTATTTTGTTGACCGGGGAGGGCATGGAAGGGGGGATGGGGAAGATGGGTAAAAGTAAGGTTTGTGCTTTTGACAGCGGATGGTGGTGCTGTTGGCAAAAAGGTTGTCTCGAGTCAATGGGTGGTCATGCGCACGAATCATATGGCATTTCTTGTTTTCTCAATGCGGGTAGATGGGTGTTAGAGGGAAAACAGCATCACTCGAGTGGGAATAGGAGGTTGGAGGAGGAAATTGCGATGGTCGCTGAGATTCGGCATCGAGAACAATCTTTTTCTTCTTTTATTTGTGAGGCATTTTCTTTGGGCGGCTGGCGGCTAGCGACGAACGCGATATGGGGTCCTGTTTGTTTTGTTTTGTCTGCATTTGGTTTTTTCCCTTTTGCTTGGTCCCGTGTGTAGTGGGCTTGCAAAGGGCGCTAAGCTGTATGTGAGGCTAACTATGGTGAGTCGGAGGGTCGTGCAAAGGACTAACCGTGGTCCGATAGTCCGCTTTCCCACGGGCGAAAAGGGTATCGATGGATGCAGGGATCAAAAGTAGGGCGGAAGGCAATGGAGCAAGAAGAAAAAAAGAGATTACGCCCTGCATTGCACCAAGGCGCAGTGCATCAAGAAAGAGGGGGAGACAGATAGACGAGACGACGGTATTGTGCTCTAGGCGAAGGTCGCTGGTCGGAGGCCGAGCGATGCGCGGGTGCGGATCTTACGATGTGCCGAGGCGCTTATTCAGACGACGAGGCGGACAACACAGTCAGCGGACGCCTTTTGGTGCGCGAGCCGGTGGATAGCAGGCGTGATTGGTAACCAGGGTCTACATGAGAATGCGACCTTTTGCGAGCGAGGGGGGGGGGGTGCATGGAGAGTCAGCGGTTTCAGGCGTGGTATTATCGCGGCCCAAGAGGGCGTGTCGGACAAAGAGGCTGCTGTGGAGAGCGAAGGAGAATATGCTTTGTGTTTATCGTCGAGGCTGGGATACTCCTGGCGGCAGACGAAACATGACGCCGCCAAGTCACAGCGACAAGGTGAGGCTCGCCCGTACAGCTGTGGGCTAAGTAGTATGTTAATATGATATGTCGGTCATGGTCATGGCTGATGGAGCCTCCGCTGCCATGCCATGCTGCCATCATCGGCGGCGGTGTGTTGATGTCATGGCGAGCTAAAGTAGCGTCCAGCGCATTACCGCATCATCCTGGCGCCAGCCAACGGACGATTTTTTTTTCTCGTTGCAGCGACGGGTCCGGTACAGTTCCATGGCCGGCCAAGCCAGCGTCAGGATGGCTATGGACGATGCTGATGCTGCTGCAAGAGCATCGCTTGCTTCAGGCGCGCCATGCAGTGCAGTGCAGTGCAGCTGTGGTGTAAGTACGCCTCGCATTCGTAATTACTCTGCCCCGGGGGTCCAGAGGGCTGTGCGTGCTGCCATGTGTACCATAGAATACTGATACCATGTCTCGTCTACGCACCCGCGGTGGGCCATCCGGCAGCACGCATCACGCAGGCGTAATGGGCATCGAACGCAACAGCGTGAATCTTGGTAACAATAGGAAGAGGCGGCAGGGCGCCAGGGCTGGAAACGAGATTGGGTGCACCCTCGTCCTAGCCCGCTCCGTCGTAGCCGCTCAAGTCGCGGACCTAATTTGACCCCCCCGGCGCAGTGCACGCCTCAGCCATCCGGAGTTTCCCCTACCAGGTGCCTGCCTAACTTGCCTCTCTTAATCCTCTAGCCCGCCCTCTTCCGCCCTGTCCTTGTCTACAAGCTTGCTCCAAACATCCTCTGTTCAAGCTCGTCGTCCCCTTGCACAAAAAGAAAATCCCCCCAAGAGGCTCGACGACGACGCTCGCCCCAGCCCAACGCCCCCTTCCTCTTCCTCTCTCCCTCCTTCTTCTCCGCCGCCGCCGCCCCCAGCTGCCTTTGGTCGCGTGTTCCCATCGCCGTTGTTCCATCACTATACAAACCCCATTGCGCCACAGCCCGTTCCCCCAGGCGACCGAGCCCGTGTATTCACCATGACCAACAAGAGCTACCTTGCATTTCTTGACAACACCACGGCTTCAGACATGCTCTCGCGCACTACCGTCCCGGGCCTCGCTGCCTTGCCTAGTCTTATCCCACACCGCGTCCGTAGGAAATGGAGAGCCACAAAGTCCCGTATACGCAGTCGCCAGTCGCCAACCTCGTCCATCGCCTCGCTCGAGACGTCCTTCTCCCCTTCGGATACCCTACGTTCGCTGCGCACCCACTCGTGGTCCATATACGACGCTCAGTATCTGTTCCTCGCCATTGTCGCCATCTTCTCCCTCTCCGTCAGCGAGGCTCCAGGGCCCTTTGCCAAGACGTTTGTTGCGACGCTGCTCATGACGGGCTTGTGTCTTCCCATTACTCGCCAATTCCTGCTCCCATTGCTTCCTACTCTTACCTGGCTATTCCTCTTCTCGAGCTGCAAGTACGTATTGCTGTCCACTACAACCCTTTTGTGACCCTGCGTGCTGACTGTCATCTGTAGATACATTTCTGAAGACTACCGACCTGCCATTTGGGTCCGCGTCCTCCCCGCTCTCGAGAACATTCTCTACGGTTCAAACCTGAGCAACATCCTCTCTGCCCACAAGCACACCGTCCTCGATATCCTTGCCTGGCTGCCTTACGGTGTCGTCCATTACGTATCGCCCGTCATTGTTAGCGCATGCATGTTCATCTGGGGTCCCCCAGGAACCCTTCCCATTTGGGCTCGTGCTTTTGGATACATGAACATCACAGCCGTCCTCATCCAGATTGTTTTCCCATGCTCCCCGCCATGGTACGAAAACACCTACGGATTGGCTCCTGCCAACTACAGCATTCACGGCGACGCTGCAGGACTCAAGGCTATTGACAAGCTTACTGGCATCGACATCTACACCTCCGCCTTCCTTGGCTCCCCCATGGTCTTTGGCGCTTTCCCCTCCCTGCACTCTGGATGGGCTACTTTGGAGACTTTATTCATGGGACACGTCTTCCCCAGGCTGTTCCCAGTCTATGTCTTCTACACCATGTGGCTGTGGTGGTCGACCATGTACTTTTCCCACCACTACGCCGTTGACCTGGTTGCCGGCAGTCTCCGTAAGTTTTCAATTCTTCGTTTTAATCTCGGTCCTTGCTAACGATATCTCCAGTCGCCGGTGTCTGCTACTTCTTCGGCCGCGCCAACTTCCTACCCCGCCCTCAGGCCGACAAGGAGTTCCGCTGGGACTACGACTTTGTCGAGATTGGCGACCCAATGGACCGTGCTGGCTACAGCATGCTCGACATCTACGAGGAGTTCCCACCCAACTCTGATTCGGACGATTGGGCTACCGGTTCCTCGTCATCCTACTCCACTGGCGGTCGCAGCCCAATTGGTGCTCGTTCGCCTACTGATGACAACCAGAGTCTCTGGGACGGAGACACTGTCGGATCCGATACTGAGCACACTCTCCGCAAAGACTAGAGCCACGCGTCTACACCTTCCGCCTCATAACCTTACACCCATCTCTAAACTCGCACATCACCTAATAATCTCCCCAGGTGACGGCCTTTATGACCTATGCATTGGACCGGAGTTTTTTGTTTTGTTTGCGCAGCATTTCAGCGTTCCATGGATAAACATGGGCATTTACGGCATAGAAACACGGGCGTCCTCTACAGTGTAGAACGACGACTTGCATCCCTATTCAGAACCACTCGTCATTTTTTCGCAGTGGATTTCTTCTAGCGCCAGAGAGCGTGGTTTTATTGTACCCCCACCTTTTTTTTCTTTTGATACCCAAGTCAATCGCTTCCTATTGGCAGCTTTTTCTGTACAAGAAAAGTTCCATTTTTATACACGTTCGCTTCAGCGCTCAGCCGCTTACCCTTTGGTATGCATGGCATATCTGTCCATGGGCAGGTCTTTCTTCTTCTCTTTCTGACGATGATGTTGGGATAAGGGTCCAAGGGGGGAAACGGCTGGGATGCATTGGTTGAATCAACTCATGGATTCCGACACGTACCGGAACAAGCACAGGGCCCTGGTGGATGAATTTAACACGGGCCTTGTTTCTTCCTTTCTACTTCCACCCCTTCTTTTTTTTTACCCGTCTGCAATTGCACAGATGGGGTTCATACCATCACACACACCCTAACGTAATGCTTAATGGAAATCAATCATGGTTGAATGAAATCAAACAATCACAAACATGACACCAACAATTTGGTACCAAAATCTCTCTCCTGTGTTGTCTGCCCACCAATGCTTAGATGTGAAACGGATCGGCATAACCTTGAGCTGTTCGCGGACAAGTGCTTAGCTTACCTTATCTATCCTTGGCCTGGACCTCTCAACATGCTTGGTACTTACATACTATGTACATGCGTCCAACATGGCTTACTCAGGTGAGGTGGGGTGGCTGATTAATTGCATCTACTAACTAACTAGTTAGCAGTAGTATAACCTAAAGAAGAATAACAACAACAACTAAGATATGACGAGATGAAGATGATGTGCTGTCTAGTAAGTACTATCCGCATCTTTCCACCTCCCTCAAGCTTTGATCTTATGATTCGTCTAGCAGCTTGCATAGACGAGAGAGAACCTGGAGGCAATTGCGCTTCCGTGACCGCAGCACGCAACGATGGAACTGTCGTATCAACTTGTCGTAAGCCCCATTTTGAAGAGATGATGCTCTGATCTATCTCTCGTCCCCATTGCGCTTTTGGCAAAAGTTTGTATCCATCTCTCTTCTATGGTAGTAGCTCGAAGTAGAAGCTTGGATTCGGACTTGGGATCAGCTCAAATGAGCGTCTATAGCACTACACTACCTTGGTCCACTTTTAAAGATAATGGGAGTCTTGTTGCTCGGTTGAAAGGGCTAATTTCTAATGATAAATAATCTGATTGACCTTTCTTACATGAGAGAGTCAAGACTCTCTCTCCCTCTCTCTCTATAAGCTCGTTAAGACTCATAAGACAGAAAGCACTACATTCGCCAAGAAAATCTCCACACGGAACCCATCGGAAGACTTATGTATAATCGCGTGCTTTACTAGTGCAATGGCTGATGATAGCAAGCTCTGTTATGAAATGGTCACACGACTACTTTTACCTGTTATCTCAAGTACGTTGTATCATTCCCCACCTACTGCATGCATGCATATACTTTGTCATACACAGATAAGAACCATGTTCGCTAGCCGCCCATGGATCCTCACTCACTTTCCAAGAGGCACTCTTTTTTTATCCCCCGCCCCCGCTAACCCAAGTACACGTACAACCCACATCAACCCAGTCTAGAACAAGTCGAGAAGATCCTGGTTACTCTTCTTGCCCTGTTCACCACCTGCTATTTGCTGATTTGGCGGCGGCGGCTGATTCGTCTCCATGCTCATGCTTGCAAATCCGTTCATAATGTCGTTGTTGCTCATTTGGCCCGCAGGAGCAGCAGGTGCACCTCCACCTCCATCACCGAATAATCCTAGCAGATCATCCATGTTTGATTGTGCTGGGGGCGCATTCGCCACGGGTGACGATACGCGTTGGGGCGTACCGGCAAGGCCTTCCAATCCAGATGCCCCATGTGTAGGCTGCTTTTGCAATGAAGCAGGTGCAGAACCATCGAAATCAATGTCCAGGAGATTCTCCATGTTAGTGGGCGCTTGTCCGCTGACTGCGGCGGCAGCTGCAGCTGCGGCAATGGGATTCTCTCGTGCTTCTTCTTGTTGCTCCTCGATCGCTGCTCGTTGCATCGCCTCCGCGCCGAACCTGCCTTGTCCAAGGAAGGCCTCTGGTGGCTTGTGGTAAACTGATGCCAAAGTCGACAGTTCTGTAAGCAGGTTCTCCAGCAGTTGAGGAGGCAGTGACCGTATTGTCGATGTAATCGGAGGCTTGTCTGAGAGGACGATGTCCTGATTAAGTCAGTAGCTGTCCAAACCCCACATTTCAAAGACAACATACCTTTGTTATCTGTGGGTCGCTGGAAAGCAGTCGCCAGTAGACGTAAGCTCTGTCCCGGATATCTGGGTTGTCGTTGTCTGCTGTAGCGGCTTGTAGGACCTTTGTGACTAAGCCCTGTGCTTGATCTGGCTTCTTCAGGAACAGCTTGACGACAGCTGTGAGAATCTGAAGTTGTGTCTGGACTCTGTTAGCTTCGCCCGCGTAGAAACATCACCAGAACATACCTGAGTGAACTCTTCAGCAAATGTGTCGACGAAATTTGATAGAATCTCGCCAGCGTTGTTGATCTTCTCTGCATACTCTCCAACAATCCAGATGAGGGAAGCCCGTGCATTCGGCTCATCCAGCTCGTCTATGCACTGGCAGAGTGTCGGTATTATACCCTCATATCCTGGGTACTTTCGGAAAATGTCTTTGATGACAACAATCGCCTCCTGGACAACGTAGTTGACCTTGGTGTTGATAAGGTCAAGCAGTGTATTGACGCACTTCTCGCTCGCGCTTTCGATCTTGATGGCAACTTGTCCAATGGCCTTGACGGCTCGTCGTACAAAGTCCATGTCCACCTCCATAGCGTACTCCTTCAACTCGGCTAGTAGTTGATCGACATTCTTGTCGTTTGATATCCGCACCATGATTTCAAGTTTTTCCATCTTCAAGTATGGCGGGTCGTTGTATTTGCAGAAGAAAACACGCATTTCCTTGCTGAGAATGTCGGGCTGCTTCTGAAGGAGGAGGTCAATGTTCCGTAGTGCAACGTATTGTACTTCTGGGGCAGATGAGACGAGTGTAACTACAGTATATCAGCAGCGGTCACGTGTATTTCCAGTATCAACACGCACCTAGCGGTGGCGCCATCTTCTTCTGATACGACTTCATCATCTCAGGCGAGATATGCTTCATGTGCAAGAAGACGACCTTGACGGCTGCCAGCACCACACTGGGGTTGACATGCTGGAACTGCGGGACAACTCTTTCGCAAATATGCTCCGCCTCTTTGACATCTGCTGCCTTGTAGTCTGCGAGAGTAGTGAGCAAAGTCACACGACCCCACTCTGTGCACTCGTTCAAGGCCAGAAGCATCTTCTTGAGTTGTGACGAGGTGATGACGAGAGCCTTGGTTTCCGGAGCAGTCTCCTGAATCTCCACCAAGGCTGTGACCGAGTTTGCGACGACCATGGGGTTTGGGTCTCCAACTAGTTCCTGGAGCTGCTCGAGGAAGCCATTCTCAATGCACATGGCGGGAGCAAGATCGAACAGCTTAGCTACACACAGCGCTGCGGTCTTTCGTACATATGGCGATTCGTCTCTCAATGTTTTCCGCAAGGGCTCTTCCATGTAGTCTGTCATCTTATCAACGCGAATACATCCCATTGTCCGTATCGCCAACGCTCGTATGAGGGGGTTCGGGTCTTCCGAGTCTTGAACAAAGGTATTCACGGCGAGAATGCAGAGGTCAGGGTGTGATTTGGCATAGTTCCTGAGGTATGTGATCAGTATCCTGGTAGTATCTCAGCGCCAGATGCACGCACATGAGGTATAGATATACCAGCTTCTTCTGGTCCAAGTCGGCGGTTGCGATATTCTTCAGTACATCAGGAAACAGCGCAGATACATCTTTGCCGAGGGTCATTGACATGATGGTCTTTTGAATGGCCTCTTTTCTGCGAAAGTCTTAGTGCTTTGCTAGCTTTTATATCTATCGTAGTACCAGGCGCTCACCGTTCGTAGGCATATTGGGAACTAGAGGCAATCGTCAGTTGTGAACAGCTGTACTTGTGCCTGGGGTAAAAGCGTACACCAGACCTGCCCGCAACTCGAATGTCTCTCCCTTGCGCGGCGGCGCAAATGCGCCCCTTATCCTGTTGACAGCCATGTTTGTTGTAGAAACGCAGCAGCCGATTGCTCAGCCTATAAACCAGACCCCTCCGATTGCGGCTCGTTCAGAGGTGAATGTTTGTAGACGATCGATTCGAGGCGGGTGTCGCAATTCAGATTCCCTGGTCGTTCTGGACACGGCAGTCGGGAAATTGTCGTCTTTGAAAGTCGAGTGGCGTCGCAGGGGAGTGAATTGCTAAAGGGACAATGTTGGTGGAGCTTCGCGACTGCCACCTTGATGATAAGGCCCGTGCGTTGGGATGGCATCTAGCCCGACGCTTCGACGCTTTCGCCGCTATCACTCCGCTATCACGGGAGGATCATCATGGTGAGTGGACAAGGGGGATAGTTACTCTAGGTCATGGTTCTGATGCAGAGTGACAGCCTTCTAATCTGCCAAATCTACGTCGACTCTTTGTCGACGCGCGTAGCGAAGCCGAAGAGAGCGCGTACTCCAGAAAGGCTGTATGTTCTTGCTTTGGCACACGATAGGCCAACTGTTGAGCTGATTGATACGACAGTTCTACAACCTCGCCATTTTCATTTCTTCCGTTGCTGTGTTTAGTCTGATGGCTCAGCGCATGGCTTCTGCAAAGGCGATTGCTTCGTAAAATGCGTTGTACGAATGGCTGTTCACCAAGTTGCACAAGATTGTATTGCCATGGAGTGATGTTGGTCGGTCCTTTTGAGCACAATAAGAACTTGAATTAATCCATCCCCCAAACTCAAAGTCCATAACATATACGCATGAGCTGGCGTGGTTCATTCCATTTCTCAATACACAGAGTGTGTATACTAGAACACACATGAGCATCAATGTGTCATGTTTGTCCAATAGTCAAAGAGCAAAAACCAGCAGTTTGTAAAAAATGTGTTTAGTAAGTGCCCTATTAGAACACCCGCAAAACCCTACCAAAACGAAAGAAAAAAAAAGAACGCCTCGCTCGCATCGCAGAATTTCAATGCTTCATTGCTACAAATTATGAGGGCATGATGAAATCATCAAGTATGTAGGCAAACCCTATCCACCCCCTCGACTACGTCGTGCATCCCCCCAAACTCAGCGCCTAACTACACCCAACCCAGTTTCACCCCGAGACACCCTGCCACCCACTCCCTCTCCCTCCCTTTCTCATCATCTCAACCCTCAACCCAGAAATAACGCAATTGAGGCGCTGTACCGGAACCCTCTCAGCCCGAACGATGCTATTGCCTCCCCGGGTAAAGTGGGAGTTTTGCGACACACGCTGCAACACCTTCGTGCCTGATCGCCACCCAGGTTGCGTCCGTTGGTGCGACGCATACAACGTTTCGCTCAGTTTTTAAATTGTCGCCAAAAAAAATTTATGCGCCGAGAGAACCCTAAGTGACAAGCCCCCCCTTCCCCCTAACAATAGTAAGTAAGGGCTTTGTTGTGTGTCAATTCTGTCAGAAAGGAGTTCTGACAGAATTGACGTAACTGTAAAGTTGTCACGTAAAGGTGGAAGTGCGAGGGAAAAGGAAGGTAAAAAAAGGTGATAATTCTACATTTCATCAATTGCATAGGGCCGGGGGATATTGGGGGGATAAAAGAAGCTACGTAGGGCGCAAAGGAACAAGATAAAAAAAAGAATAAAACAAAGAAAAGATTTCTCTCGCCCGCTCGCGCAACCTTTAGAACCAGTCCAATGAAGCGCTTTTGCTTCAATCTCCGTAGAGTATTGACATCCCTCTCTTTCCTCTCCTTTGGCCCCCTTTGCTCTTTACCCCCATCGTCCCATATGTGTATGTGTATTGTTTCTGTGTGATTGTTTATAACTTAACCAATGGATAAAAAATTTGGTTCCCGTTGTGTGTTTTCAAGAATAGAAAGCCATCCATTATAGCGGCGTATAACCGCCCTTAAACTCCAAACCTCACTGTGTTGTTGCCAACCCCCCTAATCATGCGTTACTTCTACACTCTTGTCAACCCTGTTCGGCGTGTAGGTGTGAATGGAGCCGTTTATGCGATGTAGTGGCGGCGGGAGAAGCGTCCACGACCGCGGCCACGACGTCCACCGAAGCCACCTTGACCACCCTGGCCTCCCTGTCCTCCTTGACCCTGACCGCCCTGACCTCCTTGACCCTGGCCGCCGTTCTGACCGTTGTTCTGGCCATTGTTCTGTCCGTTGTTCTGACCATTGTTCTGACCGTTGTTCTGACCATTGTTCTGACCATTGTTCTGGCCGCCGTTGTTGTTGTTGCCGCCGCCGTTGCCACCAACGGTGAACCTTACACAGTCATCCTGGGGACCACGCTGAGCAACAGGCATGATAACAGGTGCATGGTTGCTGGACGAGGTAAGAGTGCAGGCGCGGTAGACGCCATCAGGAAGACCATCAGCAAGGTCGGCAGTAAGTTGACCCTGGCCGTTGGCAGCGGTGTTGACACCCTTGAAGAAAGCAAACGTCTGTGGGTTAGGTGGCTCCTCGCCGTTGATGTTGCCATTCAGGTCCTGGACAGTGATGTGCGTGTGGCCAACAATATTTCCGCCCTGGAGAGTCTGGGGGGCAGCGTAGTAGGTGTTGTCGGGATTCGTAAACGAGCCAGCCACCAGGTTGTTGGTCTTGACGGCGAATGTGATTGCCTGGTTGGCTTGAATAGTGTCGCCATTCTTGGGGTTGACAAAGACAGTTGAGACCATGTTATTGACAGAAGGGATATCTCCGTAGACTGTGTAATGGTCAGAAAATGATGCAGACATGAGGAACAGAGTACACTAACCAATGCCGTTACAAGAACCCTCACGGACCTGAAGACCGTTGGTCTTAGTCTTGCCTTGACAGAAGTTGATGAAGTTGGCATTATCGCTGGTGATGTTAGTACTATAGTCACAGAGAATCGTGGATGTGAAAACTTACGTGTTAGAAGGAGCCTGTCCCTCCTCCGCTTGACCTCCAAGTCCATCAGATTGACTGGCATCCTGAACATTGTCCTGGTTGAGGCAGAGGTTGTTGTTGCCGCCATTGTTGTTGTTGCCACCGTTGTTGTTCTGACCGTTGTTCTGACCATTGTTCTGTCCGTTGTTTTGCCCGTTGTTCTGGCCGTTGTTTTGCCCGTTGTTCTGGCCGCCGTTGTTGCCTTGTCCACCATTGTTGCCCTGTCCACCAAACTGGGCATTGGCGACACCTGCCGCGAGGATAAGGGGGATGAGAGTCGAAAACCGCATGTTGAAGTCTTGAAGTGAGATCTGGAGCGAGAAAAAAGGTATAAGGAGTGGAGATCCGGCTGGCGGTGGATTATAATAGAGAGAAGAGAAGAAGAGACAGATACGTTCAACGTAATCTGGTAGAAAATAATTAAGAGGAAGAGAAAGGAATGTAACCCTCAACTGCAGAACCGGATTGTGAGAAAACAAGCGACTGATGATGGCGAGAAGTCAAATACTTGTCGAGGAAAAGGTCCCTTAAGTCCTTGGCGATGTCCAAAGGCCAAGGACAGCAAAAACAACCTGGCAAGGCGGCTCCTCGTTCCTTGGGCATGAAACCCGCGATGAAGGCAGACATGTCTCACACCCACATACTCCGGCAAACATGGGCTCACGCACGGGGCGCTATTGACTGAGGCTGTTGTGGCAGCCACGCCGATACAGGAATGCGCCAGGCATTGAGGAGGAGACGCGAGAAACGGATGGTGTAAGAGGTTGCCCATGTAAAGCACAGAGTGCCGCGAAGGTCGTTCGCACTAGTCCTATCGGGTTACGGTCTTACCTAATCGGGCTTGACGCTGCATGGCGCCAGGCACTTTTGCCGATCCTCCTCGTTTTCGAGCATATTGTAGTATACCCCATATAATGCTTTACCTGCGTATTCAACGGTAACCGAGTGCGCCGCAGGAGTGTATAGTAGATCCCTATAGCTTTCACCAGCATCGTAACTAGCCTTGCGGAAATTAGTTGTAGCCCCTCCGCCACGAATATGTGACCCATGCCTCCTCCTCGAGCCTCACTACCAGACTGTGATGTGTAATTCGTGCATTATTGACAATGCTAGTTGACATTGTCGTCATCTGTCAACAACGGTCGCCACAGGTGACAGGCGGAAGGCCCCAAGGCCGAAAACAGGCACTCCACAGCGTTCAAGTGTGGTCTGAGTCGCACTTTGTACACATGCACACACCAGCACTCGACAATGGCGGTGATGAAGAGCCCGTGTGCAATATCTCAGCCCTGTTATCAACAGGTATTATCCAAGGCGCTAACCATCCTGCTCTTGCATCGCCCACCCACAGCTTACAGGCTCCGCAGTGGATGCAACCCTCGCCGCACCCGTATCAGCGTAATTCTTGTTTCTTGGAATCCTCCATGCTGGTGTATATACGCAGCCTTGGTTTTATTTTTCTGAGGCTGGACCCAAGGCTTTTCCAAGCGAACAGTTACCCGTTGCTTCCGCATTGGCAAAACGTGCCCTCCCCGGAAACAAAAAGCTGACACACGTTGCGTTGAACCCGCGCTATGCGTTTGGTATGTACCTTGGGGAAGATTACGGAATCAACGCCAATTACCCCATGCGGATCGGCTTCAATGGGTCCCTCGGCGGGCCTGAGGCAAGGTGGGTTTTCAGGCACGATAGATCTACATCTGTAACTGACTTGCACAAAAACAACTCAAGTTGGACTACTCTGAAGCAGGCTGGTGACGTTGGCCGGGGGAAAAAGGTGGAGGGCTGGTGCAGTCCCTTGCTTAATAATTTCAACTGCGCTTGTCGGCTTAGACTCTAGCCACGCGTTATTCTTCGGGACTGCGAATATCCATGCCTTAGAATTATCGGATGCTCTACCATGATCTAGAAGACGCTACCTTTGCGATTTCAGACAACCACTTGCCCCTTCATAACCTGAACCGCGCCACCTTCGAGACGGACCTCCGAAATAGACCCGTTTTCATTCACGTCGACATCGATGAGAATTTCGCTACGCCTTCCCATCTCCACGCCTTGCACAATCTCGTACTGGAATGTCTTGTTGGCTCCACCTTCTGTCAGTGAGATATAGGCTGCCAGATCACTGGCAGCACTTCCAGTGGCTGGATCTTCCAACGGACCCTCGATCATCCGCGTCCTCAGTCTCGTCACTCCTTGGTCCTTGTTTGCCACTCGAACAAAGAAATACATTCCAACAAAGGTTTTGTCCCAACCTTCATCCAGGCCGTTAATTGCAAGGGATTGACCAGCCAATGACACCATGGCCAAGGCCTCGACGCTCTCCAGCTCGACCAGAACAAACGTCATGCCTTTGACAATGGAGACTATAGGAAAGTCAATCTTTACTTTGATCTTGTCCTGGCTATGAGCCCCTGCCAACTGAGGCTGTACTTTGAAGAGCATTTCGTTGGTATATCTCTTTTCATGAATGTGTCTGTACTGGTCAGCATGCATGGAGCGCACTCGAGTTTGCATTTGTCAACTAAAAAGACAGACAGAACACAACATTGAACGAAGACTTAAGACAGCACCGCCACTACTCGAATCGAATCGAATAAACCGAAATGCCAGATTTGCGAACACATAACCGACAATAAACGTAGATAGGGGAATCAACAACGTACACATCGTGAGGTATCGAAGCCTTGGCCGTCTTCTTGGCCACGTCGTATTGTAGCCGTACAGGTCCAGCTTTCAAGTTGAAGGCTGCCTCGATGACGCCATGATCAAGGCCTTGAGCCTGAGCAGTTCGTCCTAGGACATAACACGCCGTACCTACTGTGGGGTGCCCTGCGAACGGTAGCTCCCGCGATGTCATGAAGATGTCCACGGTCCATGCTAGATTGGCTTCCCCCTCCGCATTCTCATGCAGGAAGGTTGTCTCGGAAAGGTTAAATTCTCGTGCAATGGTCTGCTTCTGTTTCTGAGTTAGTGTGCGGCCGCTAGGTATGCGCACAATGGCTAGTGGGTTGCCTTGGTATGGCTCGGAGGTGAAGACGTCTACGGTGACGAAGTCGAGCTCAGCGCTTGTTGCCATTGTGCAAGGAGGTGGCAAGGTAGGCACGGTGTGGCAGATATGATGGAAGCAATCGATGTGTTCTGGAAAATATTTGTGATATTCACCTGCCTTGGTTGGGGTGACTCATTAGGAATACACGTAGGGCGCGCTGCCGACTCCTGCTGACCCTTCCCCACCCCCTTCTTCCCGCTAGTCGCCCACAGAATGCAGTCGAACACTCTGCACCTTGTGTGGTTAGGGTTTTCATTGCATCTCCGGCACTTTACATTTGCTACCACTGGTTGTCGTCATGTCGTATAGCTGGTATCGATAACGACCCAGTGATAATGACTGGTCCGATCAGTAATCGGAGGAGATTGGGTCCTAGAAGGCACGAGGAATAGCTAACAGGCACAGGTTCCATTCATAGGATTTGAGATGATTGCCCATCTGGACCTGCGCCCAAACCGATCGGATTCTTTGCTTTTTCCCTACGTTGCGAGGGTCCGCTCAGCTACACTTGACCTACTGCGTGTGCACTAAGATGCGCTAGAAGCTATTAGCTGATCTTGACGTGCAGCGTACCTGATATCGGGAGGTTGGCCGACGCACAAGATTGCCTGTTTTGGTAGCACGACTTGGGGGTCTAGGCCACGTTCTTAGCTACCTACACACATACTTTGGACGCACGGGAAGTTGGAGGTGTTGGAGACAATACCAGACTGGCCTCCCCCTGAAGTTCGGTACTACACATGACTATTGTGATGTGTGACGACAAGAGAGCGATTAAGTTCTTGGTACCTTTTTTCATGTCGGACGAAACTCCGCCAATACATGATAGAGCACAGTGCCCCGCGGAGCCCCCGTCAGATTGCGGAGAAGAGAGGTAGCCAAGGGAGAGTAGTGATTATCTTCTAGCAATATCCAAGGCAAAGGGAGAGTAGTGACTATAGAAAGCCCCATAGCAATGGTAACATGGTGTTTACTTGAAGGGGACCCAGTAATTAGTGCTTTGGTGTGACGCGCAACAAGTTGAGACTTTACGAAGCCGAGAGCGATGTTTGTCGCGTAGCGATGAGGCGACGAGTCTCACGCACGGGCCAGCTCCGTGTGGTTGGCAATGAACAAATGTTGAGTGCACGACGTATACTCGTTGGGGTGTTGCAGCAGCAGTTGTGTTGATATCAAGGGAGAGGGGGGTCGATAGAAGCTCTGGCGAATCAGACCCACGGACGTTTGGCGGGGAGATGGTGGGAAAGCCGGGAAAGCGCGGAATGCTGGGCACCCCCCGCCAGATTGATCGCCACGGAGATTATTGCAACGGCCCAATATGGATTCGAATATGCATGTTTGGCTTGATGCGTCTGCGTCGGTGTACGCCGGCTTGTGCTGTTCACCAAGGCCGATGTCCGTAACATGAAACTGTCATCTATGGCTTACTACCTTGAGTGCAAATGAGATCTGCACCAGGAGTATGATTCGTCCAGACTACGATGGGCATGCTTCAATACGGAGTATCCCACTCGCCAAGGGATGACAGGTTCTGGACGGATTAGGTGAGGCGGTCCTGGCTGAGGCAAGAATGGGGCTAGGTTTGGGCTCCACCGGAAGCTCAAATGGGGATGCACTGCGAATATTAAGACTGTGAGGACTATATTTTGCATTGTGTTGCGCTCTGAACGGCCGAAACACATCGGCAATGCGCTTGTTTGCAGCATGAGAAGCATGATTGGTGCCCAAGGATGTGCTTGCCAAAGCCTATCGGACTCGGTCCGACGGGGCAGCTAGCAACGTCGAACCGTATCGTATTAGTATGTAGCGTGGATGCACGAAGAAATTGCATACAAGAGACGGGATGGTGAGATGCGTGTATGCCCATCGTGGACACGACTGCATCTTTGGAGTGCTTTTTTGTCAGAGAAGCCGCGTGTGGTGGATACTGGGAAAAGAAAGGCAGAGAGGACTTGCAAGGGCTGGCGTGGGATTGCAGACAGGGGGGGGGTTTGGTGACAAGGGTGCAAGGGTGCAAGAGTGGGTGCAGTTCCACGGCTGCAAGGTACACAGTTACATAAGGAGATAGTCGTAGACGGACTGAGGGATGAAGGGGCGTTGTATACTATTAGAGCAGAGTAATAGGTGAAAGTCGTTTTGGGATGTGGTGCATGTCGAAGCAACTATTGGCGGGGCTAGGATGCGAGGGTTGCGTTGCGTGCGTAAGTAGATATGTAAGGACGAGGGTCCAGGACCAGTGACAGACGGGCTAGACCCGGCGACCCAGTGCAAGGAAGTAAGTAGTGCAGTGCAGCGTTGACAAGTGGCTGGGGATAGTGGTGTTGCAGTCACGACTGTTCAAGGGATCATCAGGAGCAGCCCAGTGCAAGAGCAGCAGTGTTTGCAGCAGCCGGTATAGGCACAGGCACAGGTGCATGCTAGCGGTTTGGAAGCAGGCACAAGCAATGCAATTTTGTGATTGGGCCGGCGTGGAAAATGGCGGGCGTTGAGTGGTGCATGGCGGAGCATTGGAGGGGAGGGTGCATGAGGAGGTGCATGTGTAGTCTGCAAGGTGCGGCATTGACACGGTCGCCGTTCAGCGTGGAGTTTGCAGCGAAGTGGGACCGATGGAAGCAACGAGGGACAGGCAAAACAGTAGCTTGAGTTTGCCCTCGACTCGACTCGCACGCCTTTGGGCTCTCGTCGCCCTGACTCGGCCAGGGAGGCTCGATACAGCCGGAACGATGGAGCCTGCAACCCGCCATCCGCCCGCTCTCATTCATCAGTCAATCAATCAGTCAGCCAGTCGTCAGCCAGACTACTTGTATGATGATGCCGTGGCTCCTGCGCAGCGCCGACTGCCGAGATTGAGAGAGAGTGAGAGAGAGGGAGAGGCATGGATGACGTCGCAAGGGTCTGCCGTGGCTAAGGGAGGCTGAAAGGGCTGGAGGCTGAGGGCTGCGGGCTGCTGGCTGCTGGCTGCTGGCTGAGCGAGAGGGCTGCACCGTCGTCTGGATCACGATGACGGTGCGGCGAGCGTGTTTCCCAAAGCGTAGTCTGCTGCACCGGGGCAGCGTCGGCGTGGAGCCGGGCAACCTGGGAGCGATGCAGCACCCTAGGCCCAGCTCGTCATGGTTCTCGGGGAAGCTGGAAGCCCCTGTCACTGACGCCACTCATGCAAGTGCGACTCTGCCCATCACGGGCCCCCCGCGCAGGGATGAGGCGCGCAGCTGCGACCGTCGACTAGAGCAAACGCAAAAACCCTTTCTGTATACCTATCCGCGCTCTGCCCGTGCCTGCCCTAAGCCTCCCCTTCGGCCACTACATACTCCAAGCTCCTCCCTCTTCTCTCCTCCACCACAACCACCTCCATCCGCGACCGACAACGGCTGCGTTTGCCCTTCCTTTGTTGACCTCGCGCCCACCAAGTGCCCGGTAACACGACTAGACGCCGACCCATCCCCACCCACCACTTGACTACTCACCACCACCACCATCAACCACAACAACAACAATAATAACAACAACACTAACAACACGACCACAACCACAAAACCTCTACCACCGCACCTTACTTGCTTGCTCTGCTTGCTTTTCTCCCCGTCTGCCTCGGACCTGGTTCCAGTTCCTTCCTTTTATCGGGCTCCGCTCCCGGTCATCGCTTCCTTTCCCTCCCACCACACGGCGGCCCCCTCCCACCCCCCACCAAAACCCCACGTCCACTCAGCTACCTCTTGCTCTTCACCACCATCACCACCACCACCACCACCACCAACCTGCCACTGCCACTCCCGCGGCCTCGACTGCGCTGCCACACGCACTCTAGTGCTGCGGCGTCGCTAATCTGCCAAAAACAAAAGGCGCCCTCGGTTTCCGCTCGCATTGACACACTACAAAGGCTTCACCATGTCACCCAGTCATTCACGCAACGCCTCGGACGAGTCCAATCATTCCTCCATGGCCTATGTTCTCGAGCACGTTTTGCAATATCCCGGCAGCTATGATATTCCCCTCAAGACCATGTACGAGCTGAATCGCGTGGACCGAGCTCACCCGCTCCCCAAGAACCCATCCAGGTCTGGCAGCACATCCCCCGTCAATGCCCAATTCGCCTGGAACAGCGCTGAAGCTGCGACCATGAGCTTCACCTCATCCCTTATGAACCAGCTCAAGGCCCTGCCCACACGAACCAGCGCCCTGCCCCCCGCCTTCATCGTCAACTTTGTCACCCGCACATTCATGCCCGACCCCTCGGAAGTCGACTGGAGCCAGGCCTTGACCGCCCTCGATTACCTCAAAGACCTCGAGACCCGCCGCCGTCGCGAAATGGCAACTACTTTTGAAGCTCTCGACGTCCACAGGGACACGTGGGAAGCCGACATGGCCCGTGTTGCGGAGACGGCTCCAGGCATTGCTCTGTGGATCAACAACCTCGAGGGCAAGAACCAGAAAGCCGAGTCATACTACGCCCAAATCTGGCTCGGTCTTCGTCGATGGGTAAGCATTCTCCCTAGCTCTCTTGGCATTGCTTCATGTACTAACGTCAATTCGCAGATTATGATCAACCATCTTTCAGACGATGAGTTCAGCAAGCTCAATTGCATCAGCTACCTCAACACTCTGTTTCCTCCTGTACACAGCCAGATGAAACTGCCTTCCCAGTATCTGGACCACGAGGCTCTCAGGGAAGAGCGCCAAGTCTTCTTTGACATGATCAGCCAAGTACAGAGAAGAGGCCCGGATGTGCTGCTTCCATTGATCAACCGGGACAAGCGCCCCGAGGACGCTACTGGCTGGCCCTCTGTCCAGCGCATCGTCGACAAGTACCTCCGTGTAGCCCAAAACATGATCCAGGACTGCATATCAACACACGGCCCAGAGTCGTTTGACAGATACATGAATGGTCCTGGAAAAGAGAAGAAGCACGACTCCGGCGTGAGCTTTGGCTCTGAGCGCAGGCCGAGCGTAGGCTCGAGCGTGTACGAAAAGCCTGCGGCTGAGCCTGTTCCCAACTATGCAACCTCGATCAAAGGCCCCAGCAAGTTGGAGAGAATCACCCGCGAGTTCAAGCGCATGCGCGTCAAGCCTCGCCCTGAAGTCGAAGAGATTACCCGCATCAAGGAACGAGGTGCTGCCGATTACGTACCTCAAACTGGCGAGAATGCCGGTAAGAAATCACTCAAGAAGGCACGGTCGCTGGCAAGCCTCAGATTCGGCAACGGCAGCTCCGCCTCACTTTCGAGCCGAAAGGGCAGTGATGCTATGCCCTTTGACGCAGAAGAGATGAAGAAGCACCGCTTGATGTACGAAGCCTCAGTTAGCAAGAAGACCAATGGCCAAAACTAGGCGGTCCATGGACCGCCCACGACTCCATTACGAATTCACGACAAGATCGTCCGGTCACAGACCAAGGTCACATGTCAGGGTTCCAAGAATGCTCCGGTTCTACCTTTTCCGGACCGAAGCCTGTACGCTGTCCATCAGGTGCAAGGAGGAACCCAGTCCCCATGGAACAGCATACTGGATGTGTACCGTTTCTTTTATTGATTACATATTGTTTAGTCACTTTTCTTCTACTTGTTTTTTTTTCTTTCTCTTTCACGAGGCATGGGGGAAAATATGCCGAGGTCCTGGCTGCGGCCACGACGGCCTTGCCTCTGGGTTTAGCGGGCGTTATCATGAGAAGCATCAACCTTTGTGGGTCAAAATATTTTCTTTCTCCTTTCGTGTTAGTACGCTAGGGCTTATGTGGTCTATGACGGATAAAGCATGGTGTTCAGGAACAGGGTGCATGGTAATGGCGCTGTAGCATATATTTGTTTTGGGGGTGGCTATATTGCTTCTCGCGGGCTGTACAATACATTTACATCAACGCAGGCGTAAACCTGATTCAATGGCGGGCATATTTCAAAACATGGCAAGGGCGTAGTGTAACGCTGCTATCGAGTCGAGAGTGCTCGAGTAATGAAAAGATATCTACCAGAGTCAAAGAGGCCCACGCGCATACCGTTTTGTGTCTAGTCGTCATGGCGATCCTACGGGTGACTTCCTAATGCATGCAACCTTGCAGTTTTAAGCCGAGCGAGCATGGGTTGGCGTCGGAACTGCATGGCTCTTTGGACCACAAAGTTTGTTTTGCAGGATTCGCGTCAAAGCCGACTCAGGACCCTGGCAAATGGCGAGCTTGTTTTTTTTCTTTTTCGTCATGCAGTCAATAGAACGGATGGAGGCCGTATGCATGTGCTGCTCCAGACAAGCAAGTAACCCTCCGCCGACCCGCTACGCCTTGCCATTTGCAGGCGCCCTCTCCAAGGCCCAGGCCGTTGCAGCAACAGGTGCTACAGACTGACTGTTTGTCTACCGCCCTTCTCCACACGCGTTTGACGACCCTTACGCGAGGCGCAGCAACACCTGATATGACCGTTGACGACCCGAGTGATACCCCGGCTCCCTTCTCGTACGATGCCGGTGATGCTGGGAGTCGATCGCGCCTAGCTGTCCCGTCCAGACAAGTGGCATACGCATCACAACCATCCGCCCCTGCTAGACGTGCCTTTTTCGATCCCTGGAACAGTTCCAGCACTGGTCATCAACGTGCCGAAAATTGGCTGTCTGGCTCGACATTATGGCGCACGTCGCGTAACCTCAAGCTGGGGGAGCAATTCAAGGGTGGTCGGCACGGCGGCAAGAGGATCGCAGACACAGTCGGCGCAGGCAGCGACGACTCCGCCAACGTCGGTCTCCACGGTCTCAGGACCGGTGGACAAAAGAGTCTTGCCGAAGTCTGGGCCGCAGGTAAGTCGTGCACACAGCCGTCCAAAAACAAGGGTAAAATATACACCTTGACTTGTTACCGATATACTATGTACCTAAGTCTAATATGCACCCAGAGTCAGAGCCAGAGCCAGAGCCAAAAACAGAGTCAGAGTTTGAACCAGAGACATACTCTGAGAGCAACATTTGTGAAGATAGTTCGGTACCTCCGGAGAAACAGTTGTTCGCGGGCCTCTGCTTCTATCTCAATGGCTCGACTGCTCCCCTTGTCTCAGATCATAAGTTGAAGCAAATACTCGCCACACACGGCGCCACACACTCCACCACCTTGGGCCGACGGATAGTCACACATGTGATTCTCGGCACAATAAACGCAAGAGGAGGAGCGGGCGGTGGTCTTGCTGCAACAAAGCTTCAAAAAGAGATTGTCAAGACTGGCGGCAAGACCGTCAAGTTCATCAATGCCGACTGGTAGGATATGTAGCCTCTCCATGCAGCCACGGCCTGATTGTGTTGCTCGCCACATGCTGTGATATTTCGTGCTGATAATATACAGGGTACTCGACAGCATCAAAGCCAATCGACGTCTACCCGAATCACGGTATTCACCACTAAAGTTTGCGCCAAAGTCCCAAAGCACCATCTTTAGCACGATGCGTGCCAGGACCCCTCCAAAGTCAAAATAATGAATCTCATGACAAGCCAGGGCCGCGCAATGAGATTCTGCCATCTTTTAAATACCGCATTTTCACAAAATCCGATCACATGTCACGTGATGGCCATGTGTTTCAGGGTCCCCCCATCTAAACACACACACAAAACTCTATCGCCCATAACGTCAAGGATCAGTCATCCGGCCAGATCAGTCATCCGGCCACCCCACCAAACCTGACCCGACGCGACACACGATAAATCCACAACAACAAGGTAAGATTAGATAGAATATCAAAATATAGTTAGCTATCAAGTTCTACATGAAGTCCGAGTGTGTCCTTGAATATGGCACTTTGTACACGTCGGCGGCGCGCGCTGACGTCGCTGACTGCCCTCACCCTGCTCAACCTCTGCGACTACCCTTTCTACCTCTATAGTAAGCTGCTGAGCCTGCTGCACCTGAAGTACTCCACCAGAAGCGATATATTGACGCTGCCGATCTTTCTTCTGTCGCCGGAGCTTACTGCCTTGACGTAGCTTCTTATTTTCTTTAGCAAGTATTGTCGCTGATTGCATTGCAATCTGACAGCCTTTAATAACTTGGCGAAG